AATAGTAAGACAGATAAAAAAAAAAAGGCTAGGACAAGTCTGGGCTAAATAGACTGAACCTTAGGAGGCCTAGCTATAATTTCCAGGACCAAAATTTAACAAAAGTACCAGCAAATAAAAACAATGTTCTTTGCACTCATGAAAAATGTCAAGAAGTTTCAAGGCATAATGAAGTGGATGTATCTTAAGCATTAGCATAAGCAACATTTTTAAACCAAGCAATACTTGGTATTGATAGAAAAGCAAAATCCAAAACAAAACTTTCCACACTTACTTTAATTTTAAAAAATCATTTTTTCCTACTTCTTTCCTAAGTCTTCTCATCCATCACTCGAAGTATATTTGGAGCTACATGAAAACAAGAGTTTTGCAGCGTAAAATCACTTTAGCATCAACACTTGGCATTTTTCTATCCCAATCCACTTTGAACTATTTAATTCAGTTTTCTTTGAAGTTGTCACATGCTTTATTTCCTGTAACAATGCACCTTCTAATATCTTTCTTCTGTTTTCTTACATGCGTCATTCATTTTAGCAAGTTGAAGGTATCCTTTTCCTATTTAGTTTTTGCTACTATTAGACCATGTGCAGAATGATTATGCATAAGAAACAAAACATAAGACAAAGATAAGGACATTCAATCTTGTCCAATAATTGCATTATGTTGTTAAGAATAATGGAAGTAATGAATCAAAACTCCAGCTTCAACTTTAAATGGTCGATTTCGCTCTAGTCCACCTCCCCTTTCATATGATTTCATCGACTGCGAAGGCAAATTTTATTTTATGTCAGTCAGTAACAGTCTTGATGTAAAATTCATAGCTTTTCCTAAAAATCATTTTGTTTCAAATCAAGTAATCAGTTGACCAGTATTGCCACGAGACAGGCTTAAAAGTCTCAAGAATACCTCAAAAATCTTGATTGTCTTAAACCCAGACAAAAGCTAGATAAGTCCCCACTCAAGCAGCACAATCCCATGTGTTTCTCTTTGGATGTATGGAATTATAGAAGCAAGGATATTTCTACCATCCTTTATAGGTTTAAGTTTTATGCTACTTTTTCAAAAGCAGTTAGATACCAATCAAGTGAACCGATAATCACCACAGGCGGCTTTGGAAAAATAGGTGCAATAGGCAGTTATATGTGCTTCAACAGTGCAAAAGACTTGCTCATTTCTTGTCTTGAGTGAAAATGTTTGTCACAACACTCTTCTTGTTATGTGGATTCTCTGGTGGGAAAAACTAACAAGGCCTTCACAGAATGAGGTACTGTACATACCCTGCATAGAATTAATTATTCATATTGAGTGAATAGCATAGATGATTTCCAAATGCAGTCAGAGCTGGCCATCTCTTCTTCCTGGCTGATTTTTAAAGTCTTCAAATAGCAAACAGGGACTTCTGTTTAAACCACAAGACATTGGCCACTGGCATAGTGCTTCGTACCTCAAAGAACTAACTTTGAAAATAAGGTAAATAAAGCCTATTCCTCATCCTTAAAACATTCTGATCTGTTCCCGAACTATAAGTTTACTAGATTTCAAGCAATAGGAGATATTTGTAGAGAAATACATTTATCAAGAAATCCAATCCAATCCTTACTAGGTCTTTAAATGACCTTTCTTACTAGAATCCAGTAAGCGTTCTTTTGCTGTAATATCTGTGCAGTTTTTTTTTTTTTTAACTGATTTTCTGTAACTGAGCAGAATAGGATAAGATATAGCATTTTTGTGACAGATGGAGTGGTGGTGGTGTTATTCCACTACTAATAGTTATGTAGGCGGAGATGGGATATGGTACATACATGTGTAAAATGTGTACTTAAAATAGTGTTTTAATCTTGGTGCTATTAGGTATGTGATAACTTTTAAGAATATATATAAACCTCTTAAAGAATCAGCAGCACTAATTGATACCCATAGTGATAGATTTGTCAAGGGAAATGGAAAGCATCAGGGAAATAGATATTTAAAATAAATACATCTGTATATTTATTAAATAACTATAAAACAGTTCAATCAAATGAAGCAATCCCATGCTTAAAATAGAGTGGAATGCTAAAGTATCTTACAAATTCATTCAAGGCATCTATGAAAAATGCTGTGCTCACAAACTGTTGCATGTCTATGACAGCTTTGGTTTAATTTGTATGGGTTCACAGAGGCTTCCTCCAATGTGATCATCAAATGGAATGAAGAATTTATTTCCACTTCAGTATGTAAATGTCATTACATTTAACCTTAAAAGAGGAGCTCAGAATGAACACTGGATAACTGCTAAAGAAAGAGATATCCAAGATCTAGATTCCTATTTATCTTTGTGTTTTGACAAATTACTTAAGCCGCTATTCCTGGTATGCAAATTGTTAAGAAGCCAGGACTGACATCACGATTTCTGGTTTACTCCTCCTGTTAGATTTACAAGAGGAAGAAAAGAGGAGGAAATATTTTCTATATTTTATTGCGATGAGTTAGAAAATCCCGTTTAGGGTATTTTAGAGGAAGTATGTGTGAATCCACACATGAAAAGGAACAGTTCACTAGATATCTTGCAATACTAATCATCAATTACTATTTTGGTTTTTCTCATAAATCTAGAAAAAGAATTAATTTATATTTGTCATTACTATTTCCTGAAGCTTTCTAAAAATTAGGTTTGGAACCTAAAATTCATTATGTTTACCAAATGAGTGTACCTACTATCGGATTTGTTTGGAAATCACAAACAAATTGTGTGTGTGTGTGTGTGTGTGTGTATCATCAGCATATAAAGGACTGTGTGCCAACAATATCTTCATGAGGAAGATTAGCAGAAGAACTGTTTGGAGACCTCAGTATCCGTAAAACTACGGCCCTCTTAAGATGACCAACTTCAGTGGCTGAAATAGGAAAAAAGTTAACAGTTGCTGCATGTTAAAAATGTTAACTATCTGTAAAAATCACTATTTAACGCATGGGTTTTCGATTGTACAAATGTTCACAGTGCACTAGTATCCAGAATATTCTTTCACGTGCTTATTTTTTTTTTTAGTTTTTAATGTTAATATGCAAAGAAGTTTGAAGCCATTCCAATGAGACTTTTTAAATAGCACTTGAATCCAGAAGTTTTAGGTGCTACACTGTTGTGCGGTACAGAACTTTAATGCCAGCTTTATCCTTATTTAAAAGGATGCTGTTAAACTACGAAAAAACCACACTGTAAATAAATACACTGCTTACCTCTCTGACCAGCACTGCTGTACTTATTAAAAGAATCCTGTGATGTCACACTGAGCTTGTGTTTTAATGTTATTTTGTCATGTCAAGTCTTATAGTACGTGCCGTTCAATTTCCATACAATATTACTTTAATTTCTTCTGTATCCTATCCAAATGACTCAGAATGGATTTTTATATTCACCTTGAAAGAAGACAGCCATGTTTACTGCTGTTAAAAAGATTGGACTGGAAAAACCCTCATCTGACTCCACTGTTATTTTGTTAGTGAATCTTAAGAAAAACTACACATTTAATGAAAAGTTGTTCAGGAAAAAAAAAAAACACTTCTGTGATCTTAGTATAGTCCTAACTGGCAGGCTAGTCACACCAGCTTCTATTCTCTGAATGCTAAAGGAAAACTAGAAATGTGGTTAATTCCTTCACAATTTTTATTTTTATTTTTTCCTCTTTCCCTGCCCTCCTCCCAATTCCTCATATAATATAACCTAGGCTTGGATAAATGAATTAAAATTTCAGTGCCTTTTTTGAAAGAAACACAAAGTCCCATCAGATATTGACAGATGGAATGGTAGTGGAAAAACAGGTTATAGTACTATCACCAATACCACAAATGGAATTTTGATATTAAAGGGTAAATCACACAAATAAAACGGAGTAAATGGACTTTACTCACAATGGTGGGATGTAAATAGTGCTGACTTAGGATGTTTATAAATTATATGGAATTGGGTGTCAAAATGGTAAAAACTTCAGGTGGTAAACAAAAAATAAGCAACTGCAGAGTTCCATATTAGGGAGTAGGCATCTAAACAGCAGATGTCATTCAGTATGGGCAAGTTATACATGCTGATGCCAAAAATCCCAACTATGCATACAAATTAACAGGACGAGAGTGAGCAGTGACACTGAATATGTTGACATAGTGGCGTCAGGAAGGGCATCCGACTAGTAAACATTCTACACCATATAGTTGCCCCAACTCTCTCTGAATTAGCAATAGTGCTTAGACTTATATACTGCTTCACAGTGCTTTTACAGCCCTCTCTAAGTGGTTTACAGAGTCAGCATATTGCCCCCAACAATCTGGGTCCTCATTTTACTGATCCTTCTCAAAAGTATTAGAACCAGAGATCACCCAATGAAATTGAATCCTGGAAGAATCAGGAAATATGGAAAAGGGAAAACATTTTTTACACAATGCATGATTCAACTTGGAATTCACTCCAATGCTGGCTACCAGCTTGACTGGCTTCAAAAACGATTGGATTCAAGAAAATCATGGGGATCAATGGTGAGTAGCCTTGGTTGCCTCTGAAGCCCACCAACTGGAAGACCAGTGAGCTTTTCTTGGGCAGTTGGTTGGCCACCATGAGAACAGACTGCTGATGGGCCAGAAGTCCAAAACAGGAGTACACAGCTCATGCTTTTATGATGCCACTACTGAAACAGTAAAGTTTTGAGATACATTAAAAATACGTGTAAGAAATGAATAGACCATTCAAGCAATACTCCAGGTCTCAGTTGCAATAGTAGTTAAGTAATCATGATTATTTAGGTGATGCAGAAGTGGTTCATGAGGCAAGGACAAATATTCCTGTTTAAAATGTATCAATGATCAAATAGAGTTTATATTTTTTGTTTAAGATGGGAAAAGAATCACCTTAATTCCACCATCTATTTTAATTCTTTTTTTTTTCAATAAATAGGGGAAACTTGCCAGAGAAAGGTGGCATTTATTGATTTCCCCATTGCATACCTGACCTTATAACAAAAATTAACAAGGTCTACGTTGTATCCTTGATTTATTACAACTGACCTGCAGGCGAAAAAAAATAGAACTATTACATTAAACACTTTGATTCCATGAAGAATATCTTAAATAGAACAGGAAGTCAATTCAGGAAAAGATAAAATAGTTGGAAGCTCTTAAAAGCCATCATGTTGTGAAACTCCATTTTACTTACAGACGATTAGGCAATATCCCTGCACATCAGCTTATCAATAAACTTTTATACATTTTTTGCTATAGTACAAGAAGAAAAAAAAATAACCAGAGCTCACAATGTACAGTTCTTACACTATTTTCACAGCTTCTGAACACTATACATCTTTATAAACATACACTGTAATATAAATGCTGCACCCTTAATAGTATATTATAACAATCTATGATTAATATGCTAGAACTTCCATCGCACTGAGCCTGTGTTGGAAGCTACCTCCATTTTCTGATCAACTGCATGGAAATATTCTGCTTATATAAACAAATAATAGAATCGGGAAATGGGTCTCTATAACTATTATTTTTTCTTTTTTGGCGAAGACAAGGAAGAGCCAACAGAAAACTGATATGTAAGGCTGGGAGGCTCTGTACTTCTTTTGCCTGAAAGGACTAAAAAGAAGAATTATTGCATTATTAAAGGCCAAATTCGATTCAAACAATATCTCATTTGTTATTCCATATGTTCTTGCATGGGCAAAGGTTCCTGTTTAGACTGTTTGTTTTTCCTCTTGAAAGTTTATTAACCAGTTGGTAAACTAGAAATATAAGAGTTAAGTGGCTACAGCAATAAGATCTTGTTTCCGTTGTGTTGTGTCTTACAAGGGTCACTTCTTTTCCGCTGTCAGTTAGAAATGAGTATTTCATCAAATATAGCAGAAAAAATTAATACCATTTTAATTTTATATGGCTTTTTTTCTTGGATTGACAATATTAAAATTCCTTGTTCTGTATTCTGTCCTTTGAAGAATTTAACACATTCTCTTATATTATCAATATTGACTATGTGCCATCAGATTGGTGTTGGCTCAGCAATTTTCTCCATAATATATATCAATAAGCCATCATAAAAACTGAATTCCATTTTCAGAATAGTTCAGTGGAAATTGAATTCATCATCCAAAAATACATCAAATTAATTAGCACCATTTTGCTGTGATTTTGGAAGTACAGGTTACCTAACTGAAAAGGAGGAAGGAAGCTTATCTTCTTTGATACTGGATATCAGACAGGAAGCAGAGATCCAAATCACACCTGGAGTTCTTTAATAAGGTAAATACAGCTATTCACAACTGCAGGTCATCCAGTGTCCTTTCCAAATGTGAAAGTTAGCCAGCTAATCACCAGGTTACAGTTAGAAATCAGGGGTCACAAGCCAGTTAAATTCCACTGAATAGTTTAATAATTCCTCAGTTCAAAATTTTATGTCATTGGTTAACAGTTTGTAGGATACCTAATTCTGCTGAAGACTGGTTTCCATGGAAAGTGAAAGAATACATTATTCTTCCTCTCTTATAAGTTGAATTGTTAGCTCTTTCAACACACTGAATGTTTTTTGGTAAAGAAATAATCCATTTTACATGATCACTCTTTCCTCCCCCAACATTATGAAGTTCTGCTGAGCCACACTGTTTTAAAAAATATACACTGTGGCTGAAAAGCAACAGAATTTCAACTCAATCTATTGCACTTTGTGAAGAAAAATATATTTATATATATATATTTATATATTATCCCCCGTTTGCCTTTGCTAGCTCCAGAAGGTAAAAGTAGCTCCATTTGGCTGCACAAGTTACTGTCTCCCAGGCAGTATTATTATTTTTTTATGTTTCGAATCAGACAGACCAACAACTAACTTCCTTTCCTTTAAATTATTTGTAGCAGTTGGAAGAATTTGAGAATAAAATCCCTCCAGTCGCTGCTGAGAAGTTTCTGAGTTTAGAACTTAACTTTTAGGTGCTATCCAATCATGATCAACAAATAAAATGTTACTTATTTCCACATTTTATGTATATGTCCACAAAAAGAGCAAAGCAAAGTCTCTCTTTGATTTGACACTAACACTGTGAGTTCGGGTATTACATGGATGCACTTGGTAAGTGACAATGATATACAGACAGAATGGAGGAGAAACACCAACATTATTGCACATGGTGTCTGGGCGAGCATTAAAACACTGCAATATGGGGTGAAGATTCTGTACATCTTGCTTTCTCTCAGCACTTGCACTAGAGTTTTGATATAGCAGCAGTATCAATCAACATACATTGGTGAGCTGGGAGTTGTTGGCATTTGATCCAGGATTTTACAAACATAGCATGCAACATCCACTGTTCGTTCCTCATACATTAGAATGAAGGGATGTTTCTGGAAAGAAAAAAGGAACAAAACAGTCTGTCAGTATATGTGATCACAAAAAGTATCTATAGGACATAAAAGTATTCAATGTCTCTATGTACTTTAAATTCCATGAAATTTATTTACTTATTAGGAAAAATAATCCTCACATGGTTTAAAATAGCCATAAAACCTTCAGAAAAAGCATTTGTAAATAAGACATTATTTGACTGAAGCCCTTCAAATGAAGTCTTCAAGTTATTTACAATAAATTGCCATGCAAGTCTATTATCCAGGCACAGAATTTCAATTTTATAATCCAAACCTGGGGAAAAAAACTGGTTTGCACTCAATGCACCATAGAGGGAAGCAACCATTATTTAATTCTATGTAAGTGCAATATAGGAGATATTCTACAGCGTGAAAAATACCAATGTTTCCATTACAGAACATCAATCATTCTTCATGACAGGAATCACCTAAACCTTCAATTAAATCTTGCTGATAGGTTCATACTCCATACTCACCAGAAGCTCCTTATACTTTGGCCTTTTGGATTCATCCTTTGTAAGGCTAAAAAGATTAATAAAAAGATTACAGATTAAAATGATTGCAGAAAGGCATTTGAGTTAATTCTTGGACAGCACAAGTTAAAGGAATTATCAGAAACTGGTAATTCTAATGTATTTGGGCACATATTCATTTTTCTGTGAAGTTGCTATAACCTACAGACTACTACTTGTTTTCAAATTCTCTACCCACAATGTACAAGCTTTAAATCTATAGCACTTATTTATCTATGCTTCCTTTTTCCTGCCTTCCAAGCTGTTCTAACCCCTTAGAAAAAGTTTTCTAAAAAGACATCTAATATATTAACTTATCCTGTCAAAATAGCAATAATTAATAATTGATTAAATAACAAGACAGAACATAGCTGGAAGATAGGGAACAATCACAGCTTCTTTTTAAAAGTAAAACTTAGACTTTCCCAATGCTACAAAATAAATAATATCACTTTGTTAAAGCTTTCCTATGCATCAACTCCTACAGCCCATTAAGAGTAGATGTATTCTGAAAACAACATTTAGATGAAAACCAGCAGGGAGATTCATTCTACCCAGACTGAAACATCTGAGTTTAATAAACTAAGCTACTAAAAAACTCTCTTTCTGTCAGCTGCTCCTTCATGGCAGGAAAGAAACTAGGGAATTATAGCCGACTTTTAGCTTTCTGTAACACCCAAAGTGATAAAGGATTGCCAATGGATTTCAACAAATATGAACTTGTGATTGACAAGTGATTGTGATTAATGTATTCATTCAATTACAAGATTTATAGACCTCTCCAGTCCACCAACTCTGAGCAGTGCATAGGTCCTCAATATTGGAGATTAAAATCATACAACTATATCCTACATTCCTACGGAACTATAAATCCTGAATAAATACAGTAACAGATTTTCATCAATTTTCTAAAAGCCAGGAGGGTCAATTGTGTATTTGGGGAGTACAGTTCCAAGGGAGGATTTGCAACTCAAAAGACATGTGTATGTGGCCCCTGATATTGACAATCTTCTATCAAGGGGACAGGCAGTGAGCCTACCCTACTGAATCCTATCTGATGGGCAAATATTACGGATTTCTGGGAAATGGTGGTCCCACAAACCATGAAGGATTTGATGACAATCCGCATCTTGAATTGCAACTGGAAGCAAAGTAAGTAATCCAGTGCAATTCTTGGAGTAGAAGTGGGAATGGTAATGGAATGAGAAAATGTTAAGGGAAGAATCTTAGAAAAGATTATTTCGTTCTGAGAAAGCGTAGGAAATTCAAAACAGCCCTGTCTTGATTTTGTTTAGTGTAAGGCAGAGCATAGAGAAACTGCTACAAAAAATAGCATCCATATTCTGGTTTATTTGAAAGCCACTAAACAAAGCTCCAGTTTGGACATAAGAGGAGCCTATAATTTAACTGCAGATTCCTAGTTTTTGCCTTGTGTGTGCAAAGGGATAGTGAAATGGTTTCAAAAAAACGGTTTAAATATTGCTTATTAAGGCATAAACTGATGGTCAAAATGTGCTTTATAGAGTGTTTGAAACATTAACAAAAAAACAGACTGACCAAATTTCCAAACAAACCATAAAACCTATTTCTGTACTGTTGTCAAGAGACTGACATGGATATTTCCATGAAATCATCAAGAGTTGAGCATGTCTCAAAGGAAATTTATTAGTTTACTACTAAAGTTACATTAACCAGAAAGTTCATTAAGCTTATTAATCTTTCTGCTTTTCTTTTTACATAATTGAAAGTTCTAAAGCAATTTCTTTTATCCTTGTTACTTTTACGCGTCTGAATTCCTGTTTGGTTTGTTGGTAGATTGGATAATGTTTCCCATCTGGCATAATAATTGCAATGAAATTCAGGAACCATTCATTTTATCTCCAATATAATATAACAAATGCATTGCAAAGTTGCAAATACAACCAGTAGAAGTCTATCAATTCTTGTCAGTAATTATTATAGCAAGGGTCCAATATAGCAGTCCAATGTCAACCAAAATATTTTGATTAACCTCTGTCGATCTCAGTGAGCAGAGTTACTGACTTGGGACTATGAAAAAAATCTGGATGGTATCCAGTTGCCTACTCCCATCAGAACGATGATGTGAATCCAGCTGAATGCAATCAGCACCATATTACGCCAAGGGCTCGATTACCTGTGAGTTCATTCCCAAATGAGCAATCTTACTTCTTAGAAAATTTTAGGGCCAGATGTAGGATAATAGCATACTATGGGTAAAAACAACTATCTCCATTCACTTCTATTTAGTATATTGTCTCAATCATAATCTTAGATATGACACACCAATTCATACTTAAAGCAAAAAAAGTACCAGGACCCTCTATGAAAGGAGAGGGAAACATCTACTCAGTCATAGCAGATACAGATATCAATTCTGTAGTTCAATTAGCACAGATCATTCTGTTTATTCAGGACTTACCAATAAATTATAATAATTTGAGTCATTTAATCTTAAAATTATATTTATGGTCATACTGTGAATTTCCTTCTTGTATTTTATGATTTTTTAAAAAATGTGATTTTACAAGTTTTCGTCTCCCGTTACATTTTAAAAATTCCATACCTTTTTTAAAATTAGCTTTACAGGAAAAATATTTTACAAAGTTACATAAAAATGTCACAATAAATAAAGACTAGTATTAATTTAAAATCTGAAACTTAACTGTCTGAAGTGATTGATACACGTTCCTAAGGCTTATTAAATAAGCTATGGTTGACTAGTTCTCATTATCATGCTTTAAGTATAAGGCATAAACCATGTTAAGCAAAAAACAGAATGGTTGGATTTACTTTGGAAAAACAAAACAAAAAGATCTTATTTTTACCTTAGCATGTTATACAAATTTATTTATATAGATTTTATAGACATATACCCTAAACTGGTGGTTCTCACCCTTTTCTTCACCATGGACCCCCTTTAAATAACTTTGTACCCATAGGCCATGGCCACAGATCCCCAAGACTTAATTCAAGATATACATTTCTTCAAGCCCGCATGAATCCCTATGAGAATCTCCTAAACAGAATAAGATCAAAATGAGACATACTCACCACAAGTTGACAAAGTTGATAAAACTTTGGGAGAACTCCCGTTCCTCTGAGTTGCTCAGTTGTGGTGGGTCTCCTTTGACCACTTGTGTCAGCTGATCAAATACACTATTCCATTTAGGATAAGGAAACCGTCCTGTGGCTAACTCATACTGCAGCAAAGAGATCAGCACAAAACACACAGGTTGAATTATTCAACACGAAGTTCACAAAAATAGAAACAGTTATTGCTGCTATTATATATTATTCTTCCTTCTGAAGGAGCCAGGTGCAGGATATAGTGTAATACAATATTTCTATAACAATGATAAAATGTAAATCAAGGCATTCCAACTGAGACAGTAAATGAACTGCAGATCTAACGCTCCTAAATAGTTAAGAGTAAAGATCCAGGCAATTATATCTACTAGGCATGGGGAAACAAGTATTTTAAGCATTGTGTTAGGCTTAGCCATTTGAGAGCTACCTTTCTGGGAAAGAAATTCAATAATTCACTATAAATAAGTCTCTACCTTAGATCATCTTAAAGCAGCAGTAGTTGCATTATTAGTGTTAACTACAGATTATCACAAAATACATCTATGGAGATTCTCAGTCATCCATGTCATGGTTGTCCCAAAGGTGCTTTTTCAAGAGGAAAGTCCAGAAAGTCCAGTTGCCTCTTGAAAAAGCACCTTTGGGATCACAAAATATGGTAAATCAGTACAAGAGAGATTAACTTTTAATAGTTTACATTCTAAATTATTGAGGATACGATATACAAGTAGTAATCCCTTCATTTGTGCCTGGGAGATCATACTTGGCTATTCCCATTAAAATGTGTGCATTCTGTATAAACTGTAGCTTCGCACAAAGCACATAGCCTCAATCCAAGAAAAGCCAGGACTAATCATTTGAAGCTAAACAGAAGCATACATTTATTTCCCATGGTCAAGGATACATATAGAAAAATTGATATTAACATTGAAAAGGTTAATGCTGCATGCTCCCTCAAATCTGTAACAACAAATCTGGAACAGATTTGTACGAAACAGTACTTCACTTCATTGGTGCTGACCAATGATTTAAAACTTTACGCTAAAAAAAAAGCATGACTTTCTACTTGAAGCAAAGTATTCTTTACACAAGCAATGCTTTTATACATCCACTAGGGGGAAGCACCACATGGTACAATAAAACTGAAAAAAGTGAACAAAGAAGCCCAAACTATGTACTTCTGAGAAATTCAGACAGGCAGATATTTTATGTTTATAAAAGCAACACCTCTCTAACTTTTACATTTCCCAAATCCTTTTATCACTTCATAAACAGATTTAAGAACTTCTCTTCAGCAACACTCACTATTTCTTACCAATGTAATCCCTAAGCTCCAGACATCAGAACGGACATCATATCCTTGCCTAGATGCACTGGGGTCTATCCTCTCTGGCTGAAATAAGATAAAAAAAAAATAGGTATACAAGGGAAACATCAAATATATCAAGAAATGGTATAAAGATTACACAGTGAGATGGAGGTAAGACTTTAGGTAACACCAACATTTCCCTCATCAAGCATCACTTTCATAAAGAGCAAAAACCAACAAGAACACTACAATCTGGTTAGCAATTTCTGGGCTCTGTATGAATTGTGCCAGTTAAGCATAATACGATCTATCGTTTATACATCAAAACAATCTGACACGTCTAAGCATACTTCAGGCCTAAGTACATGTCAAGCATTTCTTAAAACTGGTGCTTAAATTGAGTCTCTTTGCTTGTATAATACAAGTTGCTTGTATAATTTACAAGACAACCTGAAGGGGTGATCATGGTGGTAAACCAATGTGCTTTTAATTCCGATCAGGAGCATGCTCTCAAAACGGAGTGTGAAGCTGCTTTTTGTCCAAAGCAAATTTAGGCACATTTTTAAGAGAGCTTTACTATCATACTATACTTTAGAATTCAAGGCCTCCACTCTTTTTCCACAGTAAACCTGAATTCTAATTTTCAAACCTATTTCAATGACCCTTTTTCTCTTAAGGAAAAGCAAAGATTCCAATGATAATGAAATGTGTCTCCAACACTGTATTTCATGGAAATCAATCATTTCCCGCCTTCTTTTTTTCATTGTAGAAAGCTTTTTCTAGGAACTCTCCAACTTCGACTAAGTTAGACATTTATTCCTCCTGCAAATTGTTCCTTGATCTGTCTAGTATTAGAGAATCCAGATTATTAAAGATTATTAAAATATGTGCATGATTTGCTGTGCATCCAAAGCTACTTAGCATGAGCATCCAGGGATGTGATGTTTTACAATGAGACTGAAAATTATATATTAAAAGTTATAAACTACAGGACAGAAATAGCTTGTTGAGGACAAGTGCTGTATTTTATTATTGTTATAATTTTAAGAATTTTTCTACTGGTTCTGTTCCGGTTCTCCTTCTGTTTTTATGATAATAATTCTAGGTCTATTCTAGGTTCTGTTTTTATAGTTGTCTGATTTTAGAACTGGAGATCATTTTGAAAATCTTCAAAAAAAAAGGGGGGGGAGAAATAAATTAAATAATCACATAAATGTATATAGTTTATTTATCCACTAGATCCATTTTGAATACATTTAGGAAGTGAGAGGGTCTCAATACTTCTGAGTCTCTTAGTCTATTAGATATGCAGACCATGTCTGGGTAGCAGGTTACACAAGAATGTGGCAAACAATGGACTTAACAACAATAAAACCAGGTAATAGTTTTGCCTACTGGCAAGAATAAGATAAGCAAACTTGAAGATAGGAGGCTGAAACAAGGCCTCAAGAATCCAGAAATCAAGGACAAATGAAATGAATGCCTTCAGTCAGTCGTTCTCAACTGGTAGTCCATATAATCCAGCTACACTAGAAATGGTGTGGATGAGATTCAAGAGGAGTTAATAAAAACTTTAATTTGGTTTTTAAATATGTATCTTCTCAGAAATACTGGGTCTTTTTATTATCAGCTCGAAAGCCAGATTCTTTGCTATAACAAGTAACGGAACTGAAAATATGAGGCATATTTCAAGCAAAGCCAAGGATACCCATTTTGCTCCTCATCTCCCCAAAATGTACCAAAAAAATCCCTAATATTTGATTCCCTCCACTCTCATGGTTATAAAATAGAAGGTGTTGGGCTACATGTGATGTCTAGGCTGTATTTTTTACATTTCTAGCTCCATGACTTGCCTTGTATATTCCTTTCCCCGTCAAATGTGCCAACAGTTCCAAGTTATCTATCCATCAATTTAGGCAATTAAAACTGATCCACGGGATTGATCCTGGATATTTAGTATTATTCTATACTGTATATTAGGATTGTGGGGGGTGGGGGGGAAAAGGGGGGTTCATTCTTATTCCCATCTCAGCAACTCAATTTTCCAATCCCACTTACTGCCATATATGGCCGGCATCCAGCATCTCTGGTTTTGGCAATGGAGTCTACAAGTTGTCCACTAATGCCAAAATCACAGAGTTTAATATTTCCATTTCTATCCAGAAGAATATTGGAAGGTTTTATATCTGAAAGAAATAAGAACAAAGACATACTTATGAGGGCAAATTTCAGTTACGATACTTTTATTTCAATCTACTGAAAGCTCCCAAACAACAAGAAACAAGATCAAGATCTTGTTTGCATCTTTGCTGGAGAAACCTGATGTTCTCTATCCTTTTCCCCACCATACTTAATCAATAGTGGTGCATCAAACATTTGGAATTTGCAACAGGTATTTCAAAGTTGATATAAAGTCTTCTAATCTCAACGTAAGTTTTTCAATTCTTCTTTGGCAGTGTTCTGAGCTCCGAGTGAAACATTCCAAATATGGAATGTTTACAATTAAACTAATTCATCAACTCTGATAAAATGTGGACAAAAACACATTATTCATTGTTTGTGGCTAGGGGCAAGCTGCAAAAACTAAGAGTGATAAAGAGAATTTACTAATACCTGTTTTCCTAAATCCTTTTTATATTTAATAAATACGATATAAGGAATGTATCCAGTAATGTTCACCCAAACATCCATGTTTCTTTGGTCTACACATAGAGATTTCACTGGCTCATTCTATAAGTAATTGATCAGCTATGGGCATACTGTGATACAGTTTCTTCTCATTTGGACTTTCTCAAACACATATACATATACAAACTGAGATTATCGCTTTTAATGAAAATTATGCAGCATAAAGGCAAAATATAACCTGATGTACTGTACATCAGGAATTACTAGGCATTATTTTTAACCCACGTATGAAGACACATTGTGAATTTGAAGGTCAACATTAATTCCACTAAGTGATAGGTAAAGTATTTGCATTTTTTTCATCAACTAAAATTTGTTCTGAACATATGAGTCTGGTGATAAAGTGTAAAAGCAAAGAAAAGGAGATTAAATTAAATTAAATTCACAACGCCTGGCATGGGGGTGCAGTGGTTAGAACGCAGTACTGCAGATTAACTCACTGCTCACTCCAGGAATTTGATTTTGAGTGGCTCAAGGTTGACTCAGCCTTCCATCCTTCTGAGGTTGGTAAAATGAGGACTCGGGTTGTTGGGGAAAATATGCTGACTCTGTAAACCACTTAGAGAAGGCTATAAAGCATTATGAAGCAGTATTTAAGCCTAAGTGCTATTGCTATTATTTCTTTAACCACAGAAGTTAGATTAGAACTTTTTGCAGCTCAAGCTAGCACAATAAGCAATAGAGAATGCTGGGGGTTTTAATCTAGACTGGTAATTTGCAAGGTCCTTGTCTTTACTTCAAGCTGTATTTTAACCTTTCTGGGGGCAGTGAATCATCCAGATTTCCCAAGGGTGAAAGAAGGAACTTCTATTATTTTAGTTGGTCATTTTGGTGTTTTTTACCCTCTGTGCATGCGCAGAGGGTCTGCGCGTGCATGTGATGCGTGCACTTCTGAACTGGTAAGAAAGGTATGTAGATTTCACCCCTGCTTTCAATATAAAGACCTTCAATTTTATTGTACATGGACTTTAATTACTAATAATTATTAGTATAACTAGTTGATGTGGAAAATTACAATGTTAAAAATTCAAATAATTCATAGTAATTTAAAGCAAAAAAAAAAATCAATTATAAGTCACTGTTTGGGACCTGGAACTTCCTTCCCTGCATTTGTAGGAAAGAAAGCAGTGGGCAGTTTTCTCCATTTCCTGAAAGTTCCCTCCAAAAATGATTCCTCGCTGTTCCAAATGCTTTACTCTTTAGTTCTCAAGAGATTTTTTTTTTTTTTGTAATTGCTGATCATGGAGGCAGGAATGAGCAAATATGCCCATCTTTACTAGTGGAATCATCATTTGGGGGAAATAAAACTGAAGGTATATTACTGCAAATGATGTGTTAAGTAATGATCCACACCAATACAACAGAGAGGATAGCAAATTAAAGAGTAAAACAAATTAGAAATGATAGTAGATTAAAAAATTTAAATCAAGAGGCTTTTAAAATTATAAAGATAAATTGTGACATAATTAAATGTCTATAGACACATGCAAAGTCTCTGAATGGTTCCATGTTTGAGATATGTTTCCAAAGATCCAGTTTGAAAAGTTAGATAAATTATTTGTATAATAAAGACATACCCAGATAGGCCTACCTCTGTGAATGATTTTCAAGTTTTCTTTTAAGTGGTTTAATGCTTTCACAGTCTAGGAGAGAAGACGAAAGTTTTATGGAGTTCTATTGAAGTCCTATTAATATCACAATTCCAAATTAACAAATGCTTTCTAGAATATATTTCAGGAAAATTATAAAGCAGAAATCCAAAAGTATCATTTCAAAGTCTTAACAATATTTTTTTACAACATAGTTGATTAAAAAAAAGATAATTGGAAAGGTGTTCAATAGTACCAGTAAAGGAAGAAGAAAGATGAGCACAGGTAGTCCTTGGGTTATGATCCTAATTAGGATTGGAATTTCCATTGTTACACAAAACCCTATACATATTTGCTTTTCCAGGGTAGACAGTTAAAATCTCAATATAGCTTGTTTTTCTCAAGTTCATTTAGCTGGTCAAGGGAGATTTAAACAGTTGTGATGGGAATCCATAATGTATGGAATGACTCCCCTTCCTACTTAAATAACATGGTTTAAGAAACAGTAGCAGCATGGTTGTGATGGTTTGTAGAATTTCATTCTATGCATCTTTTTCACCATCCCAATGAACATCATTCAACCTGCCCAGCTGTTTGGATCCCTTTCTGTGTCAATCAAGAGAGTGTTAAGTAGTGGGCTCAGAATTGCTATGCTTGAAACTGGGTTTTATCCTTTCTACAAGATTCTCTGCATTACAATTCTGCAGTCAACCAAACAGCTGACTGAGTTGAAGCAGGTTAGAAAGTCCACACATACATACCATACCCTACACACCTACATATCATACTCACATTCGGTAGGGCACAAATACATACCATATTCACAGTTCATCCAGTGAATTACAAATATATATTTTTTCTTAGCAAACAAAATAAGCCATTTTTTTAAAAAGTCAGCAAAATATCAGAGTTTCTTCAGTAATAAGTCTTAAATAAATCAATCTCAATGCTGTCTAGAAGCTGGTTTGGGAAAGCAAAGCAAAGTAAATCAGAAGCATGCACAAAAAAAGAGGAGCTTTCAAAGAAAACTTACAGCTAAAGTGATTTTGCCTAGAATTTCTTCCGGAATAACATCATCTAATACACTATATACATATTTGTAAAATTTATCAAACGAGGTAGACATGAGCTCCATACAGATCCAACAGTCACCCTAAACAAAGAAAGGAAAAGGTTATTATTTTTATTGTTAAAATGAAAAAAATGTTTTGGATGTTGTGTTAACTAAAATAAGCAATGAAAATCTTCTCACATACATTACTTCACATTCTATTATCCATGCTAAGCAAGCAAAAATAACATTCTTCAAATGTACTTCTTGAACAAATTCAAAATTCATCTACTTCTTATATTAAAGGAAAAAGTACTATTTTTAAAAAATTATATATTGACTACCCGATGGGTTAATGGGTGCACTGTATATTTAAATGACATCCTTTAGTTAGAAAAACCCAATCGATTTCATTATATGAAGACAATTATATTTGATTCATGAGTGGGTTAAATTTTAATTTATTTCATGAAAAAGAGATGTTTTCTACTTAATGTGGCCTGTTGACTGAATGAAATGAGAACGTTATACTTTATGACTTTGTGTCCTAAACTTATATGTGATATAATATCAACAATAACATTATGTTCCTTGGGCTTCGGATCTGCTCCATAGAAGGAGGTCATTATCAATAAGCAAGCTTTTGTAAAAAGGCGAGGTTGCACAGCTGATCAAACTACTTCTCTAAGGTGCTATTAGAAGGTGAACATTGGACATATATCCTTTTTGGTACACGGAGTGGTCAAAAAGCTCAATAACTATGAGTTCAATGCCCTGCCCAAAACACGTCCTCCACAAAATGAAAATAAAGAACTCAAGCATTCTTTGGTGGACCAGCTAGAATAATGTAGCAAATCAGGACCAGGATGGTTGGGTTTCAAGTCACCACTGATCCAGGAACCTCATAAATAATACTGAACTAGTTACAGTAAAAACTCTTTGTCTAAACTATCCTGTAGGATTATTATGAATGTGAAAGTATGTCACATTTGGAAGGATGATTTGCTTAATATGTAATTAAGAAAATAAAGTTTGAAAAATGAGCATAAACTATAATGGCCTTTTTTTGTCAAACACCAAAACAAAATCATATTATGAAGCTTTCTTACGTTCAACTGTTAGAACTAGTCCTGATAATATTTCTATTGCAGGTACCCCACTTCATGCAATGTTATCCAGAAAACTTTATATCTTGCCCTTCAATTAATGCATGCCATTACCCATTAAACCTTCTGAAAATACCTAAACGTTTGGAGGCAAATTAAGCAAATTCTGAGTGCCAACCTCTCTGAAGAGTGCTCCATAAAACTGAACAATATACGGGCAGTCACTACTTCTCATTACTACATCCAGATCCATTAAAAGCTGTTTCTGTTCCTTTTCATCCACTGTTGACCGAATTCTCTGAAAGAACGATAAGGACAAATCATTAAACTCAAGTCATAGTAGACAGATTTTTTAAATATAAATGGACGTTATCAATCTGAAATATTTTAGAATGGGAGAAAGTACTAGTTTGGCAAAGACTTAAAATTGAACAGAAAAAAATTAAACCAGTTATTAAATTTAATCATACAGAATACATCTGTAATCATACAGAATACAATAGAGAGAGAGAGAAAAAAAAACAAACAAACACTAGAGATAAAAGCTAACATAGGTCAGAACTTATGTTGATGCTAATATGGCTTGTTATCTGCAGCAGTAGTTTCCCTGCAACACACACACTTCTATGTCCAGTGCCCATCTTCCAGTGGGCTCCTCCAATATATCCTTCCCAATAAGCTTTTAGTCATATTGTATTTCTTGAAATAAGGAAAATGGAAGCCAGGAGGTGCTATTTCTTGTGAAAACCCTTTCCTTATAATTAAAGCATGCACTATTCTTCTCAAACTGCAGAAACTACTGAAGATGGAACTTTTTAGAATAGTATTCAGTTCAATAGTTTGTTGCCATCACCTTTAATTTACTTTGAATTACTTACAAAGATATAATTGATGTATATTTGATTCATCATCTCTCTTATTAAAATCTATCTTGACTAATTGTAGTTCTGAGTAGCTATTCATGATTTTAAATTAATTTAATATTGATCCTTAATGTTTTAATGTATGTTTTTGGTGATTTTTTCCTCAAGATGCAGTAAGTCAATAGAGATTCAGCAGTATATAAATAGAACAAATAAATGAATTTTAAGCTCAAAGTTTTGAATTTGAAATAATTTGACTACTAATATTGAAACCTATGCATTTATTCTGAATGTTGTTCTCTGCTCATAATGGCTGTGCAGACAATTAATTCCATTCAGGCAGAGAAACAAAATTCCAAAGACCAATAAGTGACAAAGAGATAAATGTTGCAAATTTCTGAACATAGAGAAAATATTTTCATAGGTACGCTGGATTTTGCCTATTAAACATCTTCTGACCACTCTATAGCATTTAAAAAGAACATTTAAAAGTATTGTGTATAAATATATTATATACAATAATGGTATTTTTATGCAATTTAAAAGACATGCTGAATTTCTACATTTCCCTTTTAAGGGAAATGTTTGTAAATAAATAAATTTAAATACACACAAAAAAGATATAGCTGATGCAAATCATTCAGAAATGTATTTTTTTACTAGCTGTATCTTGGGCTGTTGGACAACCTATAAGATATGATGAAAGCAAAGGCACCATTAGCGTTCTCAAGGGAGAGAATTCTTGACTTGTAATTCATACTACTAAAAGTCCTTGGATTGTATTTGACCAAAAAGAAAAAAGAAAAAGCATGATATCAACCATTGGTTAGCAGGATTTCTGCATATCGCTCTGTATGATATTCTTGTTCTAATTGACGCCAATGTTTTTCATCTGTTTTTTCAAATTTGTTATTGCGCTTTGAAAACCATTATTTACAATATTTACAAGAATGAAGGAACTGACAGTTTTCATCTGGTGAACAGCAGTTTTCGTAAGAAATTGTGGAAGACAAATATTTTAATCATGCAAGTAGGCAAAGAAATATGACCCTATGGAGACAAAAGGACTAATTATCCTTTGAGGCAATGAACCAAACTTGACAAGCTAAAAAAGGTTTCCAATTATGTATCAGATGGATTTTCTATTATGACAGGAATAATTTCTAAAACAATATTACATCTCAGCACAATTGTTTGTAATAACTGGAATAATTGGAAAAATGTCATTGCCTGAACAGTGAAAGTAAGAGTACAAACAAGCTAATTACTGTATTAAAGTAATACTGCATTAACCTATATTAAAAGTAAAAGCACCAAGTCCAAAATAGTTCTTCACAATTTCTTCCTATTAATGAAAGCTTTGAAAAGCTAAATATCATTGAATTTCAAGGTATCTGACCCCTATAAATATTACAAAACCATCTAAAGGAAACAATTTCAGTGTTTTTTCTGAGGTACACAGAGTACAGTACAGAGTACAGTAGTCTCAAAATGAATATTCATAGGAAGACATGGGATTAATAAAATGAATGAGGACTGTTCAAGCATTACCAATGACACTACTACACTATTAATCTCACCTGAATCATGATTTTTTAAAAAATATTTAAAAGCAATAACTTTATCCTAAATTGGTAGCAAGGATACCAAACTACACTAGAATCTTCTTACATCTATACTGAGATCTGCAATAAACAAAACAGCACCACAACTTTGGTGAAATGAGTAGATGCCTTATTTTTTGTTTGTTTTGTTTTGTTTTACTTGGCTAAAGAATCATCATCTACCTTCAAATTGTTGGATGGAAGCCATCTGACAATCAAATACTAAATTATATCCAATAAAAAATGCCAAACTATGTCCTGGATTAACATTAGCTAATCTGTTTAGAACTGGTTCACTACACTAAAATCATCTCAGCCTCAAATCATCTCAGGTCTGCATAGCTTGTCTTCTTCTCATTGAACTTCCTCAACCTTGTTTACTTCAATTACTATTTGCAGTAAATGCTACAAAGTCGCTTTTCAGAAGGGAATTTAATCCTCTTTCACAAAGGTGCTCCATGGACATTCCTCTTTCACAGTTCTAAAGCAATTTTTTAAAACAATTGTAAACAAACTAATTTAAAACTATGCATGTCACTGAGTTATAGCCTAAAGCCCTAAGCAATCATATCTTACACAAAAAAAATCTTTATAGCAACAATAGTCTACTCATATTATGGATCTCATATTATGGATCTTCACTGAAACATAAAATATCCCCAGTGCCTCTCCAAGGAATAGTTTCCCAACCTACACAACCCACAAAATAGCAGACACAGAAAAGTTTTGCTTTATTCCAGAGATATGCTACATGTTTTCTGGGCAAATTATTCCAGAGCTATCTATCATTCTGCATTCCAGAAATCAATAAGCAAAAAATTCATCTCTTTATTCGGACGTTATGGATATTGAAGGTATTGCCTATTATCAGAAAATGAAGTCTTGATTATAAAATGCATTGGAAAACAGATGAATAATAAATAATGTGGACAAAAATGCCAAATGCAGTCTAAACATATGGCTGGTTAAGGGATCAGGATTTTTTTTTTTATCCTAGCTTTTTTCCCCCCAGTCCAGGGTCTATATTTTCAGATCAGCCAAATGTTGATCTATTCATTGTGTCTTGAATTGACTGATTGGTTTATTGCCCTGGTCAGATTTCATTGGATCAAAGTGAGTGACCACCCCAAAGTCATCCAGAAGGCTTTCATGCCTAAGAGGGGACTAGAACTCACAATCTCATCGTTTTAGTCTGGTGTCTTAAACTACTAGACCAAACTGGCTCTTTTTTCCAAAATTGATTTAACATTTATTTTATTCTAGTATTCTCTTTAACTCAAGCAATATCCATTATTTATGGCACTAAATAAGCCATCAGTTCCCTTAACCTTCATCGTTTTTCTTTAGATCTAATAATTCCTAGAATGTTAAGATCTCCTATGACCTAAGTACAGGCCTGACACCATCTGTAAAGTAGTTCTTTTGTGTATTTCTTGAATCATTAATGTGCTAAGTGGCAATCTACTCGTCCCAACTCTTGAGTTTGTTCCTTTTTAAAAATTTCTCTTGTTTTACAAACATTTTTTTCCTTGTACAGCTGAATTCACTTTGGCATTTTATTGCCATTTCTCGTAGAAATTCAGAATCCCCCCCCCCACTTTTAGCTGCCATTGAACAAATGTGACAGAAAGAGCTGACATAAATATTTCAAGCAGGCAAACCAATATTTAAAAGCATAAAGCATATAGGTATTCTAGAGAAGATTAAAATTATACCATATGTAAAAGTAATGCTAAGCCTAGGTATGATATGCATAATGTAAAATGCATAGCTTAAACTGACAAGTTAAAACCTAAAATGTTATGTAAGTTCTGTTAATATTCTAAATCACCACAGGAAGTCTTCTTTGAATGGCTGGCCTTTCATCTCAGAATTAGCTTATGCTTAACCTCTCTGGCAGAGCTCTAAGAACTACATAAGTTTTTTCCAGAAAACATACCAGATGGTTATTATAAGTAGAACTCATGCTATTCACTCATATAATGTCTCCAAAAAGCATAATGGAAGAAAAATATATATAATTATAGAGTACCAAAGATGGACACTTTTAAACAACAAACTTTATTTTTTATATTCTTTTTTATTTATTAAATTTACATGCCATTTATCTCACTGTTGAAGTGACTTAGGACAACTTACAAAATGATAAAAGATCAATATAAAAACAGTTAAAATTTGTAAGAATTAAATATCGAGACTAAAAATTAAGGGGATGAACAGCACAGGAAGGAGTCTTCTCTCTTACCCCGTCAACTATCTCCAACATAGAGCATCCTCACTGGGGCCCCAGGCCGGCTTAGCAGAACCAGGTTTTAAGGCTCTTCTGGAAAACTAAGGGGATGGAGGCGGATCTCACTCAAGGGCAGAATGTTCCAAAGGGCAGGGACCACAGGGAAAAGACTCCCACCAACCAATATTCCTTGGCAGACAAGGGCCGTAATAAGCCCTTTCTGCTGAAACAAGTGAGGTGGGTCCATCCCACTAGGGTGAGACATAACTTCAAATACCCTTCATACAGGTAGTTCTCGACTTACAACCACAATTGAGCCCAATATTTCTGTTGTTAAGTGAGACATTTGTCAAGTGAGTTTTGCCATAATTGTTGAGTGAATCACTGCATTGATAAGTTAGTAAACTAGTTGTTAAATGAACATGGCTTCCCCATTAACTTTGCTTCTCAAAAGATTGCAAAAGGTGATCGCATGACCTTGGGACACAGCAACTGTCGTAAGTATGAACCAGTTGCCAAGCATCTGAATTTTGATCACATGACTATAGGAATGCTGCAATGGTCATAAGTGTAAAAACGGTCATAAATCACTTTTTTCAATGCCATTGTAACTTTGAATGGTTGTTAAATGAACTATTGTAAGGCGAAGACTACCTGTATTATGTGAGGGGTGGACTATCAAAGTCTTTACAATGAACCAATGATGTGTTAAGTAATGATCCACACCAATACAACAGAGATGGCAAACAAAAATAAGACACCCCCCTCATTTACGATCTTATTCAAGAGGGGGGAGCGGACCTGGCGGGTATTACTGGCGGGTATTATGGAGACCTGGTTGGGCCCGGAGGGAGGGGTCCCTCTGGTTGAGATGTGCACACCAGGCTTCAGAGCATTCCATCAGCCGAGGGCCCAGGGGAGGGGCGGGAGGTGGCGATTATTAAGGTCCTGGTCCGAGGGAGACCACTGTGTCACAGATTGCCGGATGTGAGTCCCTCTTTGTGAAATGGGGTCATTGGGTTCAGATGGGCTTGCTGCTTACGTACCTGCTCCCTGCCTCGTGGCAACGGCCCTGCCCGAGCTACTCGACGTGATAGCCACGGTGGCAGTTGATACACCCAGGCTTATGGTCATGGGTGATTTCAACTTGCCGTCCATTGGTGAAACGTCGGAGATGGCTCGGGAATTCATGGCTTCCATGACGGCCATGGACCTGACCCAGTTAGTTCATGGCCCCACTCACAGGGGGGGACATACTCTGGACTTGATTTTTGTCTCTGGCCAGTGGTTGAGTGGTCTTATTATAGGGGATATAGACATGAAACCCTTGTCATAGTCAGATCACTCACTCCTTCGTCTGGACCTTCGAACCACTACATCCCGCCGCAGGGAGGCGGAGCCAATTAGGTGGGTCCGCCCCAGGCGCCTGATGGATCCTGATAGGTTCCAGATGGAGCTTGGGCCATTTCCTGAAGATCTGGCACACGACTCGGCCGAGGATCTGGTAGCTGCCTGGGATCTTGTGCCTTTGCGGCCTCTGACCCGGTGTCGATCCCTTACGGCTCCTTGGTTCACTGAGGAGCTGAGGGAGATGAAACGCCAGAAAAGACGCCTAGAGAGCGGTTGGAGGGCCAGTCTCACTGAATCTGACCGAACACTGGTAAGGTCGCATATTAAGACCTACTTAGGGGCGATAAAAGCGGCAAAGTTTAATTACTTTACCGCTCTTATTGCATCATCAGAGAATCGTCCGGCCGCCCTGTTCAGGGTGAGCCGCTCCCTGCTCCACCCGGGAGCGCGGGAGGACCCCCTGGAAGGCAGGGCCGAGGATTTTGGACAATATCTGTATGACAAAATCGCTCAGATCCGGGGGGACTTGGACTCTGACTGGGTAGATTCGGGCAGGGTGGCGAGAAATAGTCTTGAGAACGTTATCTGGGAAGAGTTTGACTCTGTGACCCCTGAATGACGTGGACAAGATTCTGGGGAGACTTAGTGCGGCTACATGTTTACTGGATGCCTCCTGGTTAGTACTGGCTTCCCGGGAGGTTACACGAGGCTGGCTCCAGGGAATTATTAACGCTTCATTGAGTGAGGGTTACTTCCCCACGGCCTTGAAAGAGGCGGTGGTGAGGCCTCTCCTCAAGAAGCCTTCCCTGGACCCGGCAGTATTAGCCAACTATCGTCCTGTCTCCAATCTTCGCTTTGTGGCGAAGGTTGTTGAGAGTGTGGTCGCACGACAGTTTCCGCAGTACCTGGAGGAAACGTCTTATCTAGATCCATTCCAGTCGGGTTTCAGGCCTGGGCACAGCACAGAAACGGCATTGGTCGCGTTGGTAGATGATCTTTGGAGGGCTCGGGACAGGGGTTGCTCCTCTGTTCTGGCCCTGTTAGACCTCTCAGCGGCTTTTGATACCATCGACCATGGTATCATGCTGCACCGGTTGGAAGAGTTGGGGATGGGGGGCACCGTGTTACGGTGGTTCTCCTCCTTTCTCTCAGACCGGTCGCAGTTCGTGTTGGCAGGGGGGCAGAGGTCGACCTCGAGGCCTCTTATATGTGGAGTGCCTCAGGGGTCGGTCCTCTCGCCCCTTCTGTTCAACATTTATGTGAAGCTGCTGGGCGAGATCATCCGTGGCTTTGGGGTGAAGTACCATCAGTACGCTGATGACACCCAGTTGTACATCTCCACCCAAGGCCACCCCAACGATACCCTTGAAGTGATGTCCCGGTGCCTGGAGGCTGTGCGGATCTGGATGGGGAGACACAGGCTCAAGCTCAACCCTTCCAAGACTGAGTGGCTGTGGTTCCCGGCATCCTGATATAGTCAGTTGACTCCATCACTGACTATTGGGGGCGAGTTTTTGGCCCCCTCGGAGAGGGCTCGCAATCTGGGAGTCCTCCTGGATACGCAGCTGTGCTTGGAGGAACATCTGACAGCTGTTGCCACGGGGACTTTTGGTCAGGTTCGCCTGATCCACCAGTTGCGGCCCTTTCTTGATCGGGATTCCCTGTGCACAGTCACTCATGCCCTCGTCACCTCTCGCCTGGACTACTGCAACGCTCTCTACATGGGGCTCCCCTTGAAGAGCACCTGGAGGCTCCAACTGGTCCAGAATGCGGCCGCGCGGGTAGTCACGGGAGCTGCATGGTGCTCCCATACAACATCTCTCCTGCGTGAGCTGCACTGGCTCCCAGTGGTCTTCCGGGTGCGCTTCAAGGTGTTGGTTATCACCTTTAAAGCGCTCCATGGCATAGGACCTAGTTATCTTCGAGACCGCCTGCTGCTACCGACGGCCTCCCATCGACCTGTGCACTCCCACAGAGAGGGCCTCCTCGGGATGCCATCAGCCAAACAATGTAGGCTGGTGACCCCCAGGGGGAGGGCCTTCTCTGTAGGGGCACCTATCCTCTGGAATCAGCTGCCCCCAGAGATAAGGAGAATCCAAGACCTCGGTGCCTTCCGCCGTGCCCTTAAAACTTTCTTTTTCCAGCAAGCCGGGCTGGCCTAACACTTTTTAAAATGTTTTTAATTGATTGTTATTGTTTTTAATCATGGGGACAAATTTACATATATCTTTTTAATTGTATTTTAATGTTTATAGTTTATGTTTTTATTTGGCTGTTCACCGCCCTGAGTCCTCAGGGAGAAGGGCGGTATACAAATTTAAAAATAAAATAATAATAATAATAATTTAAAAAATGGCTGTAACGCTTTCACGCAAATTTATACTCTTTAGTGATTCAGTTCTTATTTTCAAAAGTGAATAAGACACAGCCTCAGCTAAGTTTCTTCTAATTATTTTTCTAAAATAAAATATGATTTAATAAAACTGCATCTCCCTATTAAGAATAAATTACACAAATTTAGGGCAAAAGAGGATAATGTCATTCCATGCTCTTTCAACTTCTTGAAGACTGATCAGCGGGACATAGCAAAATAACTGCCTACTGATAAGTGAGTGTATTGCTGCTTTTAAATCTCTGCTGTGGAAAAATCTAAAGGTTTATGACTAATAGAACTATCGTCTCTGCATTTATATTGTACTTTTTTCAATGCAAAAGTATAGTTTGCACTGTGAAAATGTATTAATATACAGATAATTTATACAGATGATGTATCTATGTAATTAAACTTTCAAATGATCAAATGTAAAACATTACTAGTTTAGCTTTTCAACACTTGAAATGTAAAACAGGCATTGTGCATGCATTAAGTCTCAAACTAATAACCAAACTAATGTATTTTTGCTGTTATTATATTCGTAGGGTCAATTCATGTATAATAAATAAATACACTTCTACTGCTTTTTGCTGATCTCAGGGCTGTAGCTGTGAAAACAAGCTGCAAAATGCATGTTTAACTGCTGCTTCTACAGTTAGCTACTGGAATTTTAAAACATTTTTTTTAAAGTTTCCCATACATTTTCCACCCAGGCTTTTATTGCTACAGAATGAAAAATCAGGCAACAAGGGAGAAAGCAATACTCAACAATCCCTCAAACCATATCAAGTTACTTTGGATAACTAACCACTTAAAGTGTAGTGACCATATTAGGATCAGAGTTCAGATCAAAATATTTTGATTTCATTCATACTCCTAAGACAGTGGAATAGGAATAAGGTGTAACTTAAAAGACATCTACAGTGCTGCTGGAGAAAAGCTGTGGAGAATATGTAAAATTCCATAAGCACATTGGTTTAAATCAGTGGTTCCCAACACGTGGTCCACCGACCCTGGGGGGTTGCACGATATATTCACAGGGGGTCTGCTAATTAAGTCTTGGTGGTCCATGGCCATGGTCTATGACCATAAAAGTTATTTAAAGGTTAAGAAAAGGTTGAGAACCACTGGTTTAAACTAATGATCTGTCCATGAAAAAATATTCTATGTGTATCACAACAACTTTTTAATCCCATGTTATGCATATGCTGACATATTTTTAAAGAAAGAATGGATTTTCTTCAAACTTTACATGTCACATCAGATTAAACTAGTAATAATACAGTTCTCGCTGCTAATACCGCACTTACTGTATAAAGTGCTATATAAACAACAGACATTTGTTGAGTGTTAGATGGATGAACGTTAAATTCTCCATCATGTTTAGCCCTACTGTTGGAAGTACAAATAATTATGGACATCACCTACTTTAACAGCCATAATTTGCCCACTTGGTTTGTGGACCATTTTGTTGACAGAACCATAAGCGCCTCGTCCAATTTCTCCAAGGTCTTTCAAGTCCTCTGCAGTAAAATCCCAATGTTGTTCAGGGGAAATCTTCAATTTTCCTGATGATTCAATGCTGTGTGTTCTCAGTCTCTCTCTGTTAAAAAATTTGGGAGGAATTTTTCCACATTTTAAATAGTTTAAAACTTTTTTCAGCAGCACCAATCAAAAGCATTTATATAGAGGAATGTACACATAGCTAATGCAAGAAGATAAATTCCAAGAAGGAGTTGGATGGGGCAAGATACTAACTTAAATGTAATTACTACAAAGAAAACAAAAATGTTATTTTCTTACATTATATCAATTTTCCTTGAGGATATTTATAAATTCCTGGCTAAGAATTTATTCCTGCTAGGAAATATTTTATAATTTGTCCTTTAGAATAATTATATGGCAATAATGATCTTTTTTATTATCTATATTAATATCATTAAAAATTTATTTCTGTAGTCATTGCATTTTTATAAGAATTGGTTGATCTTAACACAAAACCCCAAATTAGAACGGGTTTATCTGTTCATTTACAGATAAACCGAAATTCATTATAAAGCAACTATTTTAGTTATATTTGTGAAGTAAATTAAAAGCCACAAAATGATTGCTGCTTATTTTTATCCCTAAAGGAAGGAAGTGTATGAAAATATTTTTGTGGCAAGAGTGCCAAATAAAAACCTTTTTTTAATCTAATAGATATAAAAGAGATATGAACTGCTAACACTAACCTCCTTAATTCCCACTGTGGAAATATTTCAGAGTTACATTTCAAAGCTCTCCCAACACCATTAAATATGATCGTCTTTGCAAAGAAACCTTACTTTTTAGTTCTTAGATATAGCTCTTTTCAGGAATGATGCTAAGTTTTGGAATTGTATGAATAAGTCCCTACATACTGTTGCATATTGTCTTTTATGGTAAAATAGTATGTAGTTGTATTTGAACAGCGCAAGTCATAGTATGATTGCAAATCAAATAGATATAGTTTTCCAACTATAAATTGACTGAAAGATATGCAGACAAGGAAAAAACAAACATTATATATTAACATCATTACACATAAATACCAATTTCCTGAGGCTTCCGATCCTTCCCCCCCCCCACCATTTCAATATTTTAGGGGACATAAACTACACAGAATGTAGCATTAATGGAGGACTGAGAGGCACAGAATGAGGAAGGCCATATGTGGTTGAATATATTTTTTTTGGAAAGGTTATTTTTTTTGCTGTAATTGTGATACAATATTTTAGAGTTAATTATATTTTTCATGTTTCCACCACAAAATGACAGGAAACTGTATGGCTTGTCTTCAAAAATCATCCCAAAGAGTTTCAAATGGTACAGAAAAGAACCAAGGAGTGGAAGAGATTACTAACCTATGGGACACAGAAAATATACAATTCTCTATAATTAATATGTACCTAGATGTTCAACGCAGCTATGCTTTCTAACATAATTAAGTGAATAAATTAAAAAAAATTGAAATAAAAAGTTGAGTGGAATTGAAGTTTAAGGAACACAAATTTCAAGCTTTGCCATGTCACTCCTAAAAACAATCAGCCAACAATTAAAAGACCATTATACTAATGCTGGCATACTGCAAATTACCAGTAAAATTAAAGTGCTCGCATTTCAGGAGAAACTTGAGGCGGGGAAAAGAGTCAAGTCCACTACTGAGGAAAACAGAACTAGATAACTCAATTCCTAGAGGAAAAGGGCCATAGTTCCCCATCCCTAGTGTAGAATATACAGCTGTCTGTTCCAGGGCACTGATGATTCAGATCAAGAATTTAACTAACAATAACTAACTAACTATATATATTCACACCCATACTTCCCTCCCCCCATAGTCTATTGGCCCTTTATATACATCTTGTACATCTTAGGCAGGTGATAAGAATATAGCTATAATCTATAGCTCATGATATAGCACCTGAGGTGTCACAATTTTACTAGGACTCAGAGCAGAGGTGAAATGCTCCCGGTTCGGACCGGCTCGGGCGAGTAGGTAGCGATGGTGGCGGCCAGTTCGGAGAACCGGTAGCAAAAATTCCTGCCCCCGCCCCCCATGCCCAGCTGAGTCGCACGATCATCAGAGGATTTTTTTCTTTTAAATGCCTCTGACGAGCCAAGCTCTGACAATCCAAGCTCTGACAATCCAAGCTGAGTTGCCTGCCAATCAGGCAACTCAGCTGAGATCGTCAGAGCCTTTTGAAAGCATTCTTTTACATGGTTTTACATGTAAAAAATGGTTTTAAAAGTAAAAAACAAATTGGCCACGCCCACCGTCACATTACCCCACCAAGCCACGCCCACAGAACCGGTCAGATTTCACTGCTGACTCAGAGTTATAGTTTTCCTACCTTCACCTTGCAAATACTCACTGCCCTCGCTACTTAACTAGTTCCTTCTTAGTATAATACAGACTTGCAATGAATAAAAAAAATGTTAGTGGAAATTAAGTTTTTTAATTTAAAATCAAATACTCATCTTTGTTGTTCAAAAAAAAAATTGTCTGTTTAACATAAGTAGTTACTTCTTATCTATCCAACCTAACATTAACATCATCGTAATCTAATTTATTCAGATTGTAGTTCATAACAATTTATTAAAAATAAAAAAAATCCATACTACAAGCATTTGAAATTAACTCAAAGGCATGACCATTAAGAAGAAATGAAAGATATAGGTTAAAGCAGGATTCAAAGTATATAATCCAATATATGTCAATACAGATTTTTGAAACTGTATTAAATGTGTTAATACATTTTAATTTTTGATAAGCACTTAGAAAAAAAATGTTTATTTACAGAAATTATTTACAAACTACATGTTATCAGTCCAAGAGAACAAAAGACAAACAGAAGGAGCAATTCCCAATTCTCATCGTCACTGATCCAAAACTAAGGACACTTGAGAATAAATCTCAGTAAACAAGAGGCTCTTGTGTGCTCGGAGTTGGACCATTTGAAATTAAACACATTTTGTCTTTATCAATTACCTACTTATGATTGAGGTTAAACTAACACCCACGTAAAAAACTATTTTGCAGCAATAATGGAAATAAATGTTCTTTCTGTATAACAGACATTTTCAGTTATTTCATAAAATGACTCTGTTAGTGTTATTGTTCCAATCTTTTTTTTCCCATTTGATGGATAAATAGTTTTGTGTATCTAAGTAGAAATGCTTAACTATGGAAAATAGTTCCTATTTTCACCAAGAACTATTTTATATCCATAGTAACTCTGTTAGTGTTTCCCTGCAACCTCACTGTCTACAAGAGAACATCCACAATTGGATGAGGAACTGGAATTCTGCATTAGTATTTCATGTATCGCATCCTTTAGCATTTATGAGGGTCTTTAGTACTCTCTCGAGTTTGGTTGGGTTTTTTTGAAGACTTTTCATTACCCAAACTAAGTGACATCATCAGTACTAGTAAGGAATGGGGCTTGTTTTCAGTTTATATTCTAGTGTGGATGGGGATGGTTTTAGAGGTTCTTTGACTGGGTTGTTTACTGTTGGCTTGTTTGGCAATTTCTTGATTGGATATTGCATACTTCTTGATTGTTGGTCTGATGTTAATTTTGGAGTAAATCTATGCTCATCTCGCTGCTGATTATTGATGGAGGGGTGCTAAGGTCAAAAAGACCTAAGCACCTCTCCACCAGCAATGAGCACCCAGATGAACAGAGATTAAAAATGTATGATCTTGTGGGCCCACATTGATAACTGTTGAGGTCTGCATGTAGCCCATGTATCAGACATACATGTTTTAGAGCAATAGTTTGTTTTAATCAGAGTTGGTGAACAAGCCAGGGGTAGAGAAGTCTGAAAGTACACAATTCCTGCCCGTCCCTTTTAACTTCTAGACTTTTAGGGTGGGTCATTCCTAAATTTCTTTGACTGCAGGTTTGAATTGCAGGTTCTTGCTTTCCCTTTCTTCAAAGTTATCTATGAATTTCATTATACAAAGAAATAGCTTGTTCAGACAATCTCTCCAAAGTGGGAGGGGGAGGAAGAGTTCAGTAACAGCACAACATATAACTGATTGTAATGGCGAACATGACTGACAGAAATGCTGCAAAGGTCATAAATGGTAGGCATTGGTCACAAAATTCTTTTCATCACCACTGTAACTTCAAATGATCACTTTCCAAGGCAGTCACTAATCAAGGTCTACTCTTATATTTTTTGCCTTTAAGGGCAAAACCCCACCAAAAGCAACTTATAAACAAGAAATTTATACTATAATATACTACTGTTACTATTGCCACTACTACTACTCGTTTGCAAAATACTGCAAAGTGCTCTAGTCTGAAATAAGGTCCTCCTACCCCGCTGAGCTCCAGGTATTCCTTATCCTGGTGTTTCAAAAGGCTTTGAAGATCTGGCAAGGGTAGTAGGTCTGCTTCTGGTGCTGCCTGGTTTTTGTTATCTTTTGTCCCTTGTTTTTTACTTATATTGTTTTATTGGATTTTTGTTTTTGTTTTAACCTGTAAACCTTCTAGAGTTACAGGGAATCAGGCAGTGTACAAGCTTAATCAATAAATAAATATTATTAATAATAACAGCAGCAGCTACTTACTAGTATCTGCTAGTGCAAGCTCTGACACTAGAATAGAGGGAAAACCCTATTCAGGGAAAGTTTATTGCTTAGCACATTGTAAGCCGCCCTGAGTCTCCAGAGAAGGGCGGCATATAAATTAAAATAAAAAAATAAAAAAGTAAATAAATGAATCTTTAGGGCTTTCTTTAAAAATGGCAGTGATGAGACTTCAATAAATCCTAAGTAGATGATGATTGACCAAAATAACCACTTTCAAAGATTTTAATTTTTTTAAATACAGTCAAAGCTCTATATCTGATCTTAAATCACAAACAGGTTGACATGGGTAAAGGAAATCCCAAATTGCTTCTGTGCTTTAAATATTGGAACCAATATTTTGAAATAGTTTATAAATAATGAAGTTGATGCCATATAGTTTTCACGTTTTCTCTGTCTCATTCCTACCAACTTACATATACAGACAATTTTCAAAGGCTACTTCACCACATTGAATTCTTGCCTGCAGGTGTTATTACTTTAAATTATTAGTTTTCAAGAAATAAGCTTTTGGAATTGAAATCTTTAATCATACCATATGCTAGAGCAAACATTACGCCCAATTAAGCTTTGCCTCTTCAACCGAATGATTACTGGGTCTGAAGATTTTTCACTTCACCACCTTCTCTCACTAATTTATAAACAGGATCAATCTTACTACTTTCACAACTTCTCTTCCTGCAGTATTTCTACTTTTACTCAATCAAATAAATCCATCTTATATATTCATAATGATTCATTTCCCAAAAGTATGCTCAAATAGACTAATGCTTAAACTATGCATCTGAAGCAGAATTTTTTAAAAAACAGATATTCATCAATCATTTATTTTTGGATAACCAAGTGGCCCAATCACTTTTTCTGTATTTCCTCATTTCAATCCATCCACTCATGTTACTTGTCTTTTTCCATAAGACATTCATTTGAGTCGCTGTAAGCGGCTATATAAATTTTATAAATAAATAAATGTGGATTCTTGTGCAATTTCCCAGTACTCATCCTTGATCCTTACATTACCGACGTATAACATCGGACATCCTCAACTATGTAGTCTTACTTTCATTTGAAACTACAACAAATATAATCCTAACCCATACTTTCCAACATACTTAATGTACTCATCTCACTTCGAGATCAAATTACCTGTATTTAAGTCTATTACATCGGTTTCCTTTCTTTTTCTTAATTTCATAAGCAAACTCCATATCTATTTTTCTCATTAATTCATTTCCTTAACATTAACTCTTCTTCCATTGTATGTCTCGGAGTGGTCATCAGTTAAGCCCAAAGATATTTATCTCTGACCAGGGCCTTGGCCAATCAAGGACTTCGTATAATGTTTTTTTATTAATGAACACTAGGTAATCAGCCTTAGTTATACCTGTACCATAAGTAGCATTCTCTCCTAAAAACAATGGTACTGGCCAGTTTTGTTCCAATTGAATGCCAGAAATGCAACTGAAGTTTACTTTTATCTCAGGTTTGCTAGTGCTATTTTAGTCAAGTCAAGGTTTGCTGCCTATGTCTGGAGGTACAGGCTATGTAACGACACATTCAGGAAATAGAGTATTATTTAAGTATATACCTTAACCTATTATATAGAAAAGTAAATATATTCAAAGATTTCTCCAACTGTTAGAAAAGAACACACACACACACACACACACACACACACACACACGAATAGATAATACAAATAGTGTCTGGATTACAACACCACTTGGAACCATAATTGCTATTCCTAAACACCGCAGTCATAAAACACATGACTTACTAACAGCAATTCTTAAAGTCCTGCTTCTGATTGTTAAACAAAGATAGTGTGGGTTATTAAGCAAGGACCTCATGTAATTACACTTCGACTTTGTTCTGGGGAAGTCAGCGTGAAACATTAGAAATTGTGATCACACGAATGCGGGAACACAACAGCTGGAACTCTAAGGACCCTTCAGAAATCTCCATTGTTGTTCAGTGCCGTCACAAGTTTGAATGGATGCTAAATGACTGATCATAACCTGAGGACCATATCAGTGGTGGGTTGCTCCTGGTTCGGGCCGGTTCACAAGAACGGGTAGTAAAACTGGCAGGAGCTCCGCCCACTGACCAGGACATCATCAGAAAGTTTCTGCACATGCGCGTGGTCCCGTTGCGAACCGGTAGTAAAGGTAAGTAGAACCCACCCCTGGACCATATGCATAATTAAATCCATAACAATAACAGCAACAACAACTCATTAACGATCTTCATATTAAGGAATCCAATTTCTAGCAAAAGAAAGACTGGTGTAGACTTTAAAACTTATTCTTAAAATGTGTGTAATGTTTAGTAATGCACTTACTAAAATATTAGTCATAATTTAGAGTTTTATAGGAAATGTCAGAGTCCTAATAAAGGTAACAGAAATCACATCATAGTCATGAGAACACCAACATTTAACAGACAAAGACAATCTTTCTCAGAGACAAAATAAGAGGTAAAAAAATTGGTTAAATATGAGAGAAAGCTCCTGTACTCTTGAATTTTGCTTCTTTTTTTCTAGGTCTACTTTAAATTCCTCCTTTCAATAATGTCAAAAAGCAATAAAAGACTGGTAAAAGACACCTATAGGGAAAGAGAAAACAGAGAATTGTCTACCATTCTTTCTCATTCTATTATAACAATATATCATATGATATACTGAATATATCAATACATATAGCATATTAATATTAATTAAAAATACCCCCCCCCCCAAAAAAAAAATCCCTAAGCAGTAACTAAGGCCATTTCACTATCTTGGCATATGCTTTAGACACTACTACTAGTTCTCGGTTCCTGGGCATGAACATCTGCAAAAGTTATACATGAGCAGTTTCTTTTCTGTAGAATCTACCAAAGCATGGTAGGCCAGGTCTCTGAAACTGCTCTCTGGTTATTGTATGGAGCTCCATTACATCTGATTAATACACAAAGCAAATGTATACCAGAACTACAACACAACATTATAATAATAAACTGATCTAGGCAGAGGTTCATCTATCTTCTGGCTTTTGGGAAACAATTCATAAAATGAAATAAATGTTATCAGGATTATGTATGTACTAAGATTAATTATCCTTTGACAAGTATTTTAAGAGAAGAGTTTATAATTGGAATATTTTATGGAACTTCAACCTCTGAAATAGGAAATTATTTTATTTATCTAATGTATAGAATCAACTGCTTTCTTGGTAGGATGGGGAACTAGATTTTTTTTTATTTTTCTGACTGTCTAAAGAAGAACTAGCACAGTTATATTGATTCTTTAGTTCCACATTATCCAAGATATGTAGAATTAGGAAATTGTAGTTTTTCCTGGTAATGCTCAAGTCTCAGCAGCCTCAATGAGTGTTGTAATTGTGAAGTACATTGGAAGGTAGTGTAGCAATATCTGTGGGGCCACAGGTACTTCACCTCTGTTGTATAATATAAATGATTCAGAATCATATGTATTATTGGAAAACATATTCAGGGAAAATTTCACACACTGCAGTTCTTTCTTTTCATAATCTATAAATGTATTTAGCAGACACATCTTACATTTTCACTCATCCATCGTTTTCTAAACTTGATAATTTTACAAAATTATGAGTAATCTATCTGTAGCTCCTATTCTAAGATAGATATTTGTTCATAAGTTTTAGAGGAATTTTTTTGAATGTATAATTATTATTTATAGATTTAATTTGGTATTATGCTTAACATTAGCGTTAATATTTAAACACTTTATTTTAGTTCTTCTGATAATCTGAATCTTAGAAATTGACCTATCATTTAAATAAAGTTAAAATATCTATTTTAGATATTTTGAGCCACAGTAGTGCACTACTTAAGAGTGCAGTACTGCAGGCTACTTCTGCTGACTGCCAGCTACCTGCAAATCTCACCAGGCTCAAGGTTGACTCAGCCTTCCATCCTTCCGAGGTGGGTAAAATGAGGACCCAAATTGTTGGGGGCAATATGCTGATTCTGTAAAACTGCTGAGAAGGTTGTAAAGCAATATATAAGTCTAAGTGCTATTGTATTTGAAAAATATTTTTTAATAGTTAAAAGTGTATTCCAGGAGAATGAAGTCTGTTTGTTTGAAGCACATTGAACTCACTCATTTACCATTTAAAATTTTATCAAATAAATACGAAGTTTATTCAATATTTCTCTATATTTATTTATCAAATTATATGCATATCCAGACCTCTGTATTGTATGTTTTTAAATGAACTAAGCATGAATTGAAAACTATAAAACTCCTTTTATTCTCTTGTCATATTTGGTAATTTTAAAACAATCACATCTTTTTCTCCTCTATATCCTTTGCAACAATCCACTTTTAATAATGAACATGATCGCTTAAGGATGCATTATTATGAAATATACAATGATTTTGAAAAGGGCAGGAAAGATCTGCAAGTGAAGGTTTACAATCTGCAAAGTCTTTACATTGATGTTAGGCTCAGCCGTCAAAGAAAACTATTTTTTTGAGCACCACCTGTTGGCATTAAAGAAAAAATGAACTGAATTCCATCAAAATTTAATCTTATAAGTAAAATAAATTACTGAGTTATATATCTAACTCTCACACAACTGCTTTTAAGTAACTAATATTACGCAAAGTACAGACAAGGAATAATATGGCAAATAAATTAAAGGAATGTGATGAAAAGAAAATGTAAGTAAGTCTAGTTTACCAACATCATTCACTGTACCTCTCAATCTTTTTATTTTTGCAAATCATCCTTGCTTTTATCACATCTATGCACTGCCTCATATACTGTTTTTTGTCCTTTAAATGTCTTGCCTTTAATTGTGTTTAATTTTAAAAGGCTGTTGTAATTCAATAAAAAGTAATTTTGAAAAATACTATTATTTTTACAATAATAATCATTTTAATGCCAGTAAAAGTTAAAAGGGACAGAGACAGTACTGTAGATATGAACACAACAGTAAGTTCATTCATATACAGATAAAAATGAATATATAAATTGAGCTATTTGCTTAATTTTACATCTGTATTAATTCATTCATGATATGAAAAATTCCTGCAAGGTACTATAATTGTGCTGATGATCTCTTTTTGGCTATTATTAACATATTATGGGCTAACACACAGTTATGCTTACTGTAGCCTGCTGGAAAGTTTCACGATCATCTCCGCCTCTCTCCTTTTGAAGGTGAAGGGGGCAATGTGATTACTACCCATTGTTGCTTGAGTATCACTTCAGCCAGGAAAAGGATTATAAAAATGACAGGAAAACACAGTGCTGTTACCATATAATGCAAGAACATGCATAGATAGTCACTGAGAAGAAAGCCTGCTTCAGACAAAATATACACATTATTTATCTTCTTTATCCTTCCACTTGAAAAATAAAAAGACACTATAGTATATAAGTTAATTTGAAAGCCTTGTTAAAATCAATGTACATTAAACTGCACTGCGTTAAATAAAAGCAGAATGTTACAATCTGAGGCTTACTTGAAAGTAAGTCATATGAAATCTATTGAATTTCTAAGCAAATTCATTACATTTTAATTTCCAGTGAAGTACTTTTAGTTATCATATGAATGAACTACAATTGAAGTGTTTGTGAACTGATAAACTATCTTAATGACATATTGTATTTTTTCACATTGTTTTGATCTCACTGTTTATGTCTTGGATCGACCAATCAATAGTAACTATAATTTGATTTTTAGGGTGGAATAGGTTTAATTCATTGTGAAACACTGAAGTTAGAGGTATCTTCACTGCTCATTCAATGGTTTTTTGAGGAACAAATAAGTATTTCCAGATTCTATTCTTTTATTGATATTTCCAGATAAGAAATCACCTATAACTCTAATATTCTCTAATGAAGGAGCTGGAATAAACTTTTGGAGATGGGTATTAAGAATCCTTCCATAGAAATAGACAGGACATAATGCACATTGAAATGACTATATCAAAATCTCCTGAGCCTTCTGCTTAGTAAGTATAAAAAGGTAGCTAATGCTTCTTTTTATATTTTTTGAGAATATTTTATATTAATCATATTGGGAATTTTAACAGGAGGAGAGTGTGTGGGAGATTCTAATGATCCCTTCTGGAAATTTTTTAAAATATATATGGAAAACTCAATTTTGACGCAACCTGTCCAAGATAAGCTAAAGATTACTACAGCAAGATTGATACATCATCTAGAGATAGAGTCATCACAATTCCTAAAATGACACATTTGAATCTGTCCTTTCAAATACTGAAATATAGGTACTTATATATGGCACTACACATGGATTCATGAAATATAGTAATTAATTTGCCTAACCCTGCATTCTCAACTGTTTAATTCAAAGTAATCTACTTTAATTGTTTCAGCAGTAATTATTTTAATATGATAATTTCATATAATTCTTAAAAGGAATTTACTGCAAATATATTTTTCAGACACGATAGAAGATTTCACTTTATTCCTCACTTATTATCATCAGTTTTAAAAAGTGGGAATATAGTTGCTTGAATCCTTGAAATGTGCACAAGTTATTACAATTAATTTTTCCCCTTTCATGAGAAAAATAATGCCAGTTCTCTAGTTAGAGTTCCAGAATATTTTGACATAATTCTACAGCACACCTCAACACAGATACTGAGCCAACAAGTGGGACTCCAAAGCAATGCTGAAAAATTACAAGGTTAAAATATCAGTAACCTATTTTTATTTTAGATATAAAAATATTAGGTATGGCCCAGATTAATGCCACATCTCACCTGTTAATAGCTTAATGAAAGCAGAGTCACTTCTAATTTGAACTGCAAAAAGAGGATCTGAAGGGATTATTAACGTCTGAGAATTCCTACAGCATCTTGCTGCCAATAATCAAGAACCCTTGTACTTTTTCATTACAATTATTTATTGTTTTGATATATTAGACTGACCAAATTAATTTTATTTTAGCAAGCCAACACTAATTAGGGGTTAACATTTCTTTCTACAAAGCTATTGCCCTTAGATAATCTGACCAACTCTGTATCTGAAGAGAAACTAATAGCTTTTAGAAAAAAGCTCAAAAGTTGGCACTTACAAACCAAAGTTTAAATTACTACATCATCTCTTGACCTCTTTTACTATGATTAGTTCAATAGTGTTAAGCAAAAATAGAAAACATAAATGACTTAATAGCAATTATGAAATGATAATCGAAAATAAATTTTGAAGGAATGCAGCCAAACCAAAAATCTAATGAATTCTAAAGACCAGAGATTCAATTTAGATACTGCAGCTAGACCACAATACATAAGATGAAGCCACCTTGAAAGAAAGGTGCATAAATATTTCCGTGGATTTCCGGCACGGTTCTGCAAATAGCTACATAGTATGTTTCTAGAACCCACCTCTGAATTTATGCTGAAATTAAGGGCTTTATGCCCTATGCTTTAAAATTTGATAGCAATGCAATAGAAAGCAAAGAGCATAATTTGTATTTCCATATTGTTTTCAATCTAATTCATCATAGCTTCTTAAATTACCAATAGTAAAGGTATAAATGAATTTTCTGTCACAAGCTCTTATCACAGTATGTTAGTGTAGTTTCCTTTTTTCTATATATATATTCTAAACGTTGTTTTCTGTATGTAATATTGTATATTGATCTACTATCTGTCCAGTCTTCAAACTAATTAGTATATTTTATTAAAGACTGATTATAAATCTATCTGTATCTAAAGTATTGCAGCCATGCAACAGATGCAAAATATATATAAATATGAGAAATGATACTAATGTAATACAGACCTTATATGAATCCTCACATAGTGGAGGATTGCCTATATTAAGATTGCAGGTGAAACTAGCAATGGAAAAGTAAATTATATTTAAAGAACATGAACTGTCAAACCATACCGCCCAGGGGGAAAAAAAAGATCTACTCTAGATACTATATAAACTAATTCAGAAAATCTAACTCAGAATGACTCTGAGCACATGCTAATAATCACAATTGAAAAATATTTAAATATAATAAATTATAATAATAAAAAAGCTTTCTGTCAAAGTCAGATTCTAGAATCAATACAAATATACTGTATAACTTCTCAAGATGGAACAAAAAATAACATGCTAGTCATGTTTACTGACAGTCAAATTTAATAAGAAGACTTTTAAATAATGACCTTTAAAAAAGATATATTTCTATATATAAAAATGATTTTTTAATAGAAAATTTATCCATGCCTCCTAAGAAGATCCAGATTTTGCAACTAAGAAAATATATCTACAATTTTTTTAAGAATATACACATCACTAAATACTTCCTTTTCCATTATCCTGAAAGAAACAAATATTAACACTTTAAACTTCCAAAATGGTGCAGCTAGACACAAACCCCCTACCTCATAGAAGGAACCATTCTATCTGAGCTTTCCTATAAATGGGATGACACATTATTTCACAAGAGTTATCAACATAGTTGTGTGGAACTGAAGTTCAGTTTAGAATCAATAGGAGCAATTAATTGTTTAAAGAAAATCTAGAAGACTGGAAAAAAAATACATTTAAACTAGTTACCGTCTTGGTCTCTCTGTCCATAGGTCTTTTATACTATATACTAATCTGAATAATCAACTTAAAACAGTTCAAGAATACTAACCATAAAGGTTTTCAAAAGGTATGTGAAAATTTTCTAGATGAAAATGTCTTATTTGTTAACTTATGGTATCCTAAAAATAAAGGTAAATGATGAACATATGACAAAAGTATTTAACCTTGAAGACTTCACTGCAATTATACAAATATATACACAGAAGCAGGCGCACTGAATTCAGTGGAACTTGTTATCAGATAATTGTAATTTATAACCTAAATTTCTCAAAGTAGGGGAATCTATAAGGCAAGAAAAAAATGATACAATGGGTCTGATTATTACCCAACACAATTTATATCAACAAACTGTCATAGATTGTGGAATAGATCTATTCACTGAAAAGGAATAACAATGCTGTATTTATGTCAAGCACCAGCTATACAGGAATTGGATTGGAACAATCTGAAATTCACTATAGTCTTCGAAAATTGATTACTACAGAAAAAGCTTTTTTTCCATTTTCTATTTTGATAATGCCATTTGGCTTTAAGAACATAGCAATATTTCCAGCAGCATAAGTGAAATTAAGGATGCCAGGATTTGAACCTAGGAGCTGTTATGACAAAACCCACTATCACAAAGAGAAATTCCAATTTGGAAGTCACTGGATGAAAACATCATTGGTAAAGAAAATCTCTAGAACTGATGGATGCCTACTATAAATAATTTCTTGTAAAGAAAAAGGTTATCAAAAAGAGAAGCAGCACACTGTGAAAAAGGCACAGGAAATTGGAAAATATGAGGCCAGTGTGAAAAGACTGAAGCCTGGAGATTTCACATATTTTATTGTAGGAAGTAAATCTTGAAAAAAAAAATTGACAGACAAATCTAAAAGAGAAATTTGAAATTCTTTAAGATTTTTTTTTTAGAATCATGTTTTCTAACTTTTGGATCTCATCATTTAAATATATCCTTATGTCGACTTCATTATGAGGAATACATCCTTTCCACACCTGTTATTACTTTAGCAGTAATAGTAATGTTATTACGTGACTAAATATAGATCGACAGATATCTATTCAGTTCTAGATATAGAACTGAAACAAGGCAGAACAATAAAATTGCTGTTTGTGGAAAATGAAAAACTCTGAACTATAGGGGAAAAAAGCACCAATCCCCATTCAGCAAAACACAAGCATTTCATATTGCACACTAAAAACACTTGAGGGAATTAAAATATATAAAGATTCTTACAAACTTCATCAATAAACTTCTGAATTCTTAAAATAAAATGTAAAGAATTCCAGATTTTACTACACTTGCAGCCTGAGGAAACAGATCAGATTTCAAGATATGTCCTACTATATTAAATGTCCAACTGTTTTATACATCTGTCAACTTTACTTATGAACATAAGGCTATTCTGGTAGCCTTTCTTGAAAACTTAATGAATCTAGTAATTCCTGGAAATCTAGAAATTTTATCAAGGTTTATTTTTTAAAGATTTTTTTTTTTTAGGAATGAAATGCCTCAGCTGTATCTTTCATAAATATATGTAGAAAGTAAGAATATAATGAATTTGAAAAATAGAAGCATAAATCAGTTTATTCAGTTAATGAAATAAGGGAATATTCCAATGAAAAATAACATGGGTTTTTATGTACATTCCTAAACAATAATTTGAATTTAAGTAAGGGTAAAGCAGTATATTCTTAATTTCTCAAAATACATGGTAGGTAGACAAATTTAAAATCTCGGTCCAAATAAATGTTTTTGTGATTTGAATTAAATATATGTGAGACAATAGTTCTAGTTTGTAGAACTTCTGACTTTATACTCACATGTGTGGATTCTGAAAAGGAACTCCAGGGTTCAAAGTAAATCGTGCAGTGGATTTGAAAGGTGGGTTTGCAAAATTCAGCTTCAGTGCTCTGCGCTTACCTGAGGAATAAACACAAACTCTGGTCGGGAAGAGAACACAGATTACTATATTAAAAACATTAGAATAAAACAGGAAGCATAATAACCTCTTCCTTGCAACATTTTGGATTAGCACTAAACAATTTTTATGACATCACTCACAAAAACAGTAGGGTTCTCATATTTAGCATCGGGTTATGTGCTCAAAACAAATCCGCATCTGATAAATAACTTGATTGCTCCAGATTATCTTTCATTGGGGTATTAAATAAATTTCATTTTTTCAGAAGTGAATAGTAAAGGTATTCAATTTGGATTTTCAATAATATGATTATAATGTATCAACTATATATAAAAACCAAACACCAATTGCTTGAAATTATGAGATGTAGGATGTAGAACATATGAGAGCAAATTAAAAAAAAAAATAGATCACAAGTGAATTACAAATATTTTGAGCAATCAATCACAAAACCTGACTGAGATTTCTGGCAAAGGAGAAGAACATTCTGTTGCCATTTCCTGATGGGTAGCATGGGATTCAAAAAAACAAGAAAAAGTGTGTATGTTATAAAGAGTGTGTTACAGGTAAAATATACATGATAAATCATAATTTAATCACAGTTTATTGAACAAAGCACAATTTGTTCTTTTTACCTAAAATGCCTAGGCCATAAATTATGATTCATAAACCACAAAATTCCAAACCCAAACCAGATAAATGTAGTGTTTTGTGGGAGTTACTAATATCTATAATTACTAAGAAAACAAATGTGAATATGCCAGGTTGTTGTTCTCGTGGCCAATTAATATACGAAATGTGAAATTCCAGAGTAAAATAAAAAAAAATTACTGTATTTCTGACTTAAAAGCTAGGTCTTGTATGAAGAACTTCTCAAACTTGGCTGTGCGTGCGTGCGTGTGGATATGCAAAAGACCCTTCCATTGGGATTGCTGCAAAAATGGAGTTTTTACCACAGCTGTGAAGAATTTAGTGCCATAACATTTTAATCAGTGGCCTTGAACATGAACCAAATGTTCATACAAAACATGGCATAGTATAATATAATACATGGCATGTAATTCCTGGCATAGTAATATCTATTATGAGCATAGTCAAGTGCCTGGTGCAGTTGCTAAAATTGAATGTACATGTTCCTTGAGAGAGATTTAAATCCACAGTAATATTAAACATGCCCATAAAACACTTTACTGCCATATACTTTTTAATGAAATATAGATAATCCTTGACTTAGGACAATTGAGCCCCAAATTTCCATCACTAAGCAAGACAAGCAAGTTGTTAATTTTGCTCCATTTTGCCACAGTAGTTAAAGTGAAACACTGCAATTGTTAAGTTACTAACATGGTTGTAAAGTGAATCTGGCTTCCCCATTGACTTTTCAGAATTGATGAAACTAGTAGATCCCTCACTGTAGAGGATCAGAAATATTGAAATATGAGGAATATATAAAAATGCAAAAGGATTCAAAAACTTTTAAGTACTACTGTACATTTTATTGCATCGGTCCTTACAAAAATCTCTGAAGAGCCAGAACAAATGTATGATGTAACTGGGAACATTCAGCAGGTGCAAATAATACTATCTCTTCTTTACAGATGAACCAGTAAATAACACATGAAATAGCAGGAAGAACAGTAACAAATGGGAGCCATGGGGCAGAATAAAAGGAAGATAACATGAATCTTGCAGAACTAACGTATATTGAATTAATGGAAAAAGCCAGGTATATTACATTTCCGAAGAAACCTCTACCAAGATTTTTATAATGTTCATAGTTCACTGTTCATAGTGACTGACTGAACAAAGGAAGAAGTGAGCAACCTAGCATTCATTAGTATGGTTAAATGTTTGCTTTAACTGCATGTCTTTCTCTTGCCTTATGCTCATATGACATAACAGAACTACGGAACATGGTTTATTTGTTATATATTTCTAAACAAAACTTTTCCCTGCAATCCTTCCCTTTTTGTAATAAGGGAAAAATTTGGGCCTGCTAGCATACAGAAATTGTAACAAAATACAAAAAATTGGGTTTAATAATATGCGCATGTGTGTGGGTTAATAATGTGTGTGGGTGTGTGAATGTACAGAAACATAATCTCCATCAAAAAATAATCTGGAAAAAGAAGAGACATCCTTTCCACGTTTAAACTGGATTTTTATAAAACTTTAGCAGGAGATGAAAAATTATGTTTTAATAAGCAAACTGATTAGAATTAGGATGCTACTTTGAAGTTTTTTTCCAGTGCACCAGGAAATGTCCTCCAACTATTTACATATTTTAAATGAATATACCTTTATCTTTAATCTTTTTCTGTTTTTACTTAAAACGCTGCCTTGATAGCGCAGCAGATTAAAGTGCTGTTAAGTAGCACTTAGCTGCCAGCTGCCTGCAATTACTGCAAGTTCAAATCTCACCAGGCTCAAGGTTGACTCGGCCTTCCATCCTTCCAAGGTAGGTAAAATGAGGACCCGGATTGTGGGGGCAATAAGCTGACTTTGTATAAAAAGAACACCGCTTAGGGGAGGCCGAAAGCCCTACTAAGCAGGTATATACAAAAGTATGAAGGCTATTGCTTAACGCATTGTAAGCCGCCCTGAGACTCCAGAGAAGGGCGGCATATAAATCGAACCAATAAATAAAATAAATAATTTTTATGATGTACTATGTATTGTTTTTATATACTATATGCCACCCAGAATCATGTTTTGTGACACAGCTATATAAATTTGTTAAATAAATAAATTTGAGGAAATGGTTGTATATGATGTCCCCTTCTCAAATGAAATATTGATAAAATTTCAGTGTTTTATCCTTTGTTTTTTTGTGGTTAACCTTGAATTTGAAAGGATTACACCATTTTGATCTCTTTCCAGAAAAAAATCACAAAGGCTACTGTATTTAAATGGAATAATGTTCTATTTAACTGGTTTAGCCAAATTTCTAAAGCTGTTTGGAAATGGTACATTTATTCCACACACTATAGAATATTTTAGTATATAAACAGAATAAATTGTACAAAAAAACTGAAAAAAGGTGTAAAATACCCACAAAACACTATTTCATGGCCAGACAGATCATACATAATTGATGAGCTTTCTTAACTATGCAAGCTCTTGCTAGGTAAATTATATTCCCAAATATAATTTAATAATTCATATTATTTAGTCCTCATTCCTTCCTTCTGGTGAACAATAATACCAATGCTAATGTCATTTTCAACGTCTTACTCCTAAGAACAGGACACCCATATAAATCAGACTGACAACTGTGGGGAAAAAACCTATGGTGGTATACAAACATTATGTCAATATAGAACATAATAACCAGAAAATAAAGAGAAAGATTGCATCTGAAAGTCTTATTTTATACTAATATCTTATTGGAAGGAGCTACAACTTAATGCTAAAATTCAATGTTTCTAGCATAGATAATAATCAGAAATAGGAAAGGGCAGAGGAACTCATATCAGGTGCAACAGAGGAAATTTGTCTTTAAACATTTGTTTAAATGGAGCCTAAAGCTGCTACTTTTACCAAGAGGGAAACCCCTCTCAAAACAAACTGTGGCCAAATCCTTTTGTTCATTTCTCTTGCTCTAAACAAAGATTGTAGCACAAGCAATAGGTCAAAAATTGTCCATACCATGGCCCCAAATCTTGATCTTGGACCATGTGGTTCCCATTTACTTTAAAGAACTATTCTAATTACTAATTACCAGCTACATCGATTATGCTTTCCATAAAAGTTGTCTTAAGAACTCGGGTTTGTTATCCATGTAGACATCGCAGTTTGCAAGAAGGACAAGAGGAAAACAGCATTCCATAGAACAATGGTTGTCTTGTTGGAACAGAAAACAACGTAACACACACACACACACCACAAACACTATGCAAATTCTCTTAACACTTTACTTCAGTGTTTCTCCTTTCTTCTGCAGCAGCATCTTTTCCATATCCTGCATCTCAAACTAACTAAAGGAAACCCAGTACGATCATGAGTAATAATCTAATTTATTGGTTTAAAGATGCTTTATTAGTCTTCGTACTTCTTGCCTATCCTGATAGGTTCCAGACGGAGCTTGGGCCATTTCCTGAGGATCTAGCACATGACTCGGCCGAGGACCTGGTAGCCGCCTGGGATCGGGCGGCTGGTGGGGCCTTGGACCGAGTTGTGCCTTTGCGGCCTCTGACCCGATGCCGATCCCGTGCGGCTCCTTGGTTTACTGAGGAGCTGAGGGAAATGAAGCGCCGGAAAAGACGCCTGGAGAGCGGTTGGAGGGCCAGTCTCGCTGAATCTGATCGAACACTGGTAAGGTCGCATATTAAGGCCTACCTAGTGGCGATAGAGACGGCAAAGTCTAACTACTTTTCCGCCTCTATTGCGTCATCAGGGAATCATCCGGCTGCCCTGTTTAGGGTGACCCGCGCCCTGCTCCATCCAGGAGTGCGGGAGGATCCCTTAGAAGGCAGGGCGGAGGATTTCGGACAATACCTGTATGACAAAATCGCCCAGATCCGGGGGGATTTGGACTCTGACTGGGTAGATCAGGGCAGGGTGACGAGGAATAGTCTTGAGAATGTTATCTGGGAGGAGTTTGATGCTGTGACTCCTGATGATGTGGACAGGATTTTGGGGAGACTTAGTGCGGCCACATGTTTACTGGACCCGTGTCCCTCCTGGTTGGTACTGGCTTCCCGGGAGGTTACACGAGGCTGGCTCCAGGGTGTTATCAACGCTTCGTTGAGTGAGGGTTACTTCCCCACCGCCTTGAAAGAGGCGGTGGTGAGGCCTCTCCTCAAGAAGCCGTCCCTGGATCCGGCAATATTGGCCAACTATCGTCCTGTCTCCAACCTTCGCTTTATGGCGAAGGTTGTTGAGAGTGTGGTCGCACGACAGTTTCCGCAATTCCTGGAGGAAACATCTTATCTAGATCCGTTCCAGTCGGGTTTCAGGTCTGGGCACAGCACAGAAACGGCATTGGTCGCGTTGGTTGATGATCTCTGGAGGGCTCGGGACAGGGGTTGTTCCTCTGTTCTGGTCCTGTTAGACCTCTCAGCGGCTTTTGATACCATCGACCATGGTATCATGCTGCACCGGCTGGAAGAGTTGGGGGTGGGAGGCACCGTGTTGCGGTGGTTCTCCTCCTTTCTCTCCGACCGGTCGCAGTTTGTGTTGGCAGGGGGGCAGAGGTCGACCTCGAGGCCTCTCATTTGTGGAGTGCCGCAGGGATCGGTCCTCTCGCCCCTTCTGTTCAACATTTATGTGAAGCCGCTGGGTGAGATCATCCGTGGCTTTGGGGTGAGATACCACCAGTACGCTGATGACACCCAGCTGTACATCTCCACCCCAGGCCACCCCAACGATGCCCTTGAAGTGATGTCCCAGTGCCTGGAGGCTGTACGGGTCTGGATGGGGAGGAACAGGCTCAAGCTCAACCCTTCCAAGACTGAGTGGCTGTGGCTCCCGGCATCCCGATATAGTCAGTTGACTCCATCACTGACTATTGGGGGCGAGTCATTGGCCCCCACAGAGAGGGCTCGCAATCTGGGAGTCCTCCTGGATATGCAGCTGTCCTTGGAGGAACATCTGACGGCTGTAACCAGGGGGACCTTTTGTCAGGTTCGCCTGATTCGCCAGTTGCGGCCCTTTCTTGATCGGGATTCCCTGTGCACAGTCACTCATGCCCTCGTCACCTCTCGCCTTGACTACTGCAACGCTCTCTACATGGGGCTCCCCTTGAGGAGCACCCGGAGGCTCCAACTGGTCCAGAACGCAGCAGCGCGGGTAGTGACGGGAGCAGCATGGCGCTCCCATGTAACACCGCTCCTGCGCGAGCTGCACTGGCTCCCAGTTGTCTTCCGGGTGCGCTTCAAGGTGTTGGTTATCACCTTTAAAGCGCTCCATGGCATAGGGCCTAGCTATCTGCGAGACCGCCTGCTGCTACCGACGACCTCCCAGCGACCCGTGCGCTCCCACAGAGAGGGCCTCCTCGGGGTGCCATCAGCCAAACAATGCAGGCTGGTGACCCCCAGGGGGAGGGCCTTCTCTGTGGGGGCTCCCACCCTCTGGAATCAGCTCCCCCCAGAGATAAGGAGAATCCAAGACCTCAGTGCCTTCCGTCGCGCCCTTAAAACCCATTTATTTAAACAAGCCGGGCTGGCTTAAGATGAAATTTTTAACTGTTTTTAAATGTTTTAAACGTTTTTAATTGGTAAATGAGTTTTAATTGGGCCAAATTTATATATCTTTTAATTGTTTTTAATATTTGTTCTGCATGTTTTTTTTAATCTGGCTGTACACCGCCCTGAGTCCTTAGGGAGAAGGGCGGTATAGAAATCCAATATAAAATAAATAAAATAAATAAAAATAAAATAAATAAAATAAAATAAATAATGAAAGATCCTCTTCAGAAATCTCAGAGATAAAATTCTGTCACAAATTCCTGAACATCCACAATTATTACAGAAGCATTTATCACTTCTAATTTAAATAGGCATATTTATTAGCTTAAAAAAACATATAAATTAAATGCAGGATGAATATGTTTAAGTAAGTTTACCCAACAGAAAAAAATTGTGTTCTTCAACAGAGTTCCCACTACATCATGGCAGGCAATTATAAAGATATAATGTACATAGCAATTAAAAATGAAAGCCATAAGAGGATGAAAAAATGAAAAAAAAATGGTGCAGAGCTTCCATTAATCATCCAAATGCAATCTGACAAGGACTGATTAAAATGTCTAAGCTTTGTAGACATTTCAGACTCATGGCATACACTCAGTAGTGTTTCCACATTATTCTGAGGTAGATAAAAAGCGATATAAATGATAATATTTTCTCATCTTCACACAATTTTTGAATATTGGGAGATTATATTCATATTAAAGGATAGTATAGATGAGCAAGGTAGATCCTTTTATTGTTGGCTACATACATATACATACACAGCAAATGTTCATACTGGAAATCCTGCTCTCTACTCTCTCTAAATCCTGCTCTCTCAAATATGGGCTCTTGGAATGCAACAACTTCTGTCAAGTGGAAAGTTTTTATAAACAGAGGAAATTGTGCTCTACAAATGATGGGTGATATGAAAAGGGAAGCTTGAATGTGCTTAAGAGGTTTAAGGTAAAACGTTAACTAAGAAAAGAGAATTATGACTTAAATGTCTAGCACATATTCTTTAGATATGTGATGGCGAACCTATGGCACTCGTGCCCGAAGTGGCACACAGAGCCATATTGCCCGGCCCGCATGGCCTCGCCCATTGCTCTTCCAGGTTTCTGGCTGCATGTGCATGGGATGATCAGGTGGCCTTCGTGCGTGGGACAGTGCCAAAAACTGGAAGAACTGGTCTTCTGTTTTCCGGTGCACGCATGCGCGCCAGAAACCAGAAGAGGAGCAGCCTGGTGTGCATGCGTGCGCCAGAAACCGAAGCTCTTCCAGTTCGCGTCCCCAATGAGCGTGCATGCACTCCCTTTTCAGCACTCATGCCCAACATTTCCAATCAAAGAGTC